GCCGATATATCGCACAAACTGCTTGTCGTTCTGGCGGATTTCCTCGGGATGCGGCAGAATGCCCTTGGAGGAGACGGTCTCCACGACGAAAGTCTGCTTGGCGGAGGCCTTCGGGAAGGTGAACGTGAAGCTCTGCTCGTCGTTCTTCCGCACTTGCACATTCTTGTCGGCACTGTCTTTCACGGCAATGTATGCGAGGCTTGGCTCCGCCACGAAAAACACGTACTCGGCGATGGCTTTGCCGGCTGCATCTTCGGCCGATATTCTTGTCGTCGTCTTCACCAGCTGCGAGGTCAAATCCAGTGTTCTTTCCACATTGGTGTTTACGATCTCGGCATTGGCATTGAAGAAGCCCAACAATGCGCTTAGAGCCAGAAAAATAGCAATATTTTTACTCATAGTCGGACTCGAATTTTGGACACGTACATTAAAAAAATCGAATGCGCTATGGGATATTTAGTGCTTTTGACAACCGGCACGGCAGGGCAGTGTGACCAAAGCCCAAATTGGCTTTCATACTGGAAATAACGTTACTATGTGGGGGGTATTCTTCTGCACATGTTTTACGATTTGATTTAACAACAAAATATATAAAAAAGTTTATTAAATATATATATTTAAAAACATATATGTATATACATAATACATTACAAACGCTAAATTATAAATAAAAACAACCACTATAGAGGTATCAAAATGTGTCTTCCAATTGGACCTACGACCGGTAATTTCAAAAAATCAGGACTCAAATACAATTTAGAATGTTTGTGTATTTTTAGAGGTTTGGACTCCCCCACCAACCTGCTCTCGTGTCTATTTTCGTTATTGGAATCCCATCCGTTCAATGGTTGTTACCGTTACCCCTTGGTTCTGTTTTATGTAATTCATTCCATTCGTTATTCATTGAACTTCCGTGCTGTAAATATGAATAATATTAAATAATTCCTGGCTATCATCCCTCCTTCGATGCGCGCAGTTCCATGAATGTTCCTTGAGAGACAAACATAATGCGATTGCGTGAGTTACGGACAATATTTTTTGCCGACTTCAATTTCAGTCTACGATTGGCATTTCGAAAAAGAAGTTGTACTCGCCGGGCGCTGTCTGCGCATTCTCGAGATACACCAAGTAAAATTCGAATCAGAATTGTGCCATTTTCTCTAAGCACACACTCGCACTCACACAAACACACACACGCGCATATGTGCAAATCTAATAAGAATGATGCAGAAAACTGTATAAAGGATTTGGACTGCACCTTTGATAGTCAATACATACGATTTTGTATCCGTAAATCAATCTTTACCTTAGTGTCGAAAATATGTAGCTGTGAAAATAATTCATCTGTATACTTTATGATTGCATAAACAATTAAGACGGAAATGTGTATATACGCATAAGGACTTGCCGAACTGTCGTTGCAAAGGAAAATAGGGAAAATAAAAAACAACTAGTGAGTTTTCTTCCGTTTTCTGTGTATGCATTTCCTTAAGAAACACATTTTAATACATGCATATATACATTTTATGTATATGTTTGTATCCGTGTCGTGTGTATTTTTAGTCAGTCCGTGAGCATAAGATATTGGTGCATGTGGATGTAATTAACATGCATGTATGTACGGAACAGAAAACACAAGATTTGCAAACACGAAATGCAATTAATCAGTGATGAATTATTTTTTGTGACCGTTACATATAATTTTCATGTATCTAAAATACACAAACACATACCGTGACGAAAATAAATATGTATGTATGTACATTCGTAATGCATTGGCATTTCTGCAATTTGTAGAAACATACATACATACATACATGCGTACTTATGTACAAATACATATAAATTAAAGTTCATTGCAGAAAAAATGTGTTGGATACAAGTTTAAATTGCAAAAGTATACGATCCGTGGAGTCTCGAATTTGGAAATAATGGAACCGAAAAGATGGCACTTGCATTTATCATGTTTTTTGCTACTCCTTAGTTCAACATTCTCTGGTAAGTAAAAGCGGAACATAATGATAAATAGTGAAGAATCCTTGATTCCAGTTTTCAGTTTGGCAAAAAGCTCAGGCGCAATGTTGTATGCTACGAAAAAAAGTTTTCAGTTGCCAAGTTTTATAGCGTTTTTATCAGCAACATGCTTACGATATTATTATTATTTTTCAAGTAAACGAAATAATCTAAATTCATTTTTCATTTTGTATTTGTTTTGTCATCATTTGTGGTTACGAAATTAATCATAATTAAAATCAAATCCCAATATTATTATTATTAGTAACAGGGTTCGTACTTATTTAAATATTTTTGACATACAAATAATAAAACTAATGCATTATTTTAATAAATAATAACTTTTAAATCATTTTTTAACAATTTAGATGTAGGAAAAATTACGTCGTCTCAAAATCACTTTGGAAATACTATACAAAGTCAATTTAACACCAAAAACAACACTCGTGTTATTGCACAAAAGGGAGGACTTGCCATTTTGCCCTGTGTGGTCAAAGTTAATTCTCCAGCAACGGTAAGTAATCAACACGATTTTATTCTCAACTTGTTTAATTACCCCAATAAAATAATGAATTGTTTTCTCATCGATTTGTATGCCAAATTGCAGGTTTCTTGGATACGTAGAAAAGACTTTCAGCTTTTAACAGTGGGACTATCCACGCACAGTAGCGACAAACGATTTTTAGTCGAGCACACCCGTCACATGGGCCATTGGTCACTTAGAATTAAAGCTGTTCGAGAGGAAGATCGGGGATTTTACGAATGTCAATTATCTATTTATCCAACTCAGTCAATTGTTATAGAATTAAAGATAGTCGGTGAGTAAAGAAAAACTTTAACTCTTAACGAAACCGGAGCGCTAAAAGAATTGATTTTAATATTTTGCAGAAGCGGTTGCGGAAATATCTAGCGCACCCGAGCTCCATATTGATGAGACTTCTACGTTGCGGCTTGAATGCAAACTGAAGCGAGCGACTGAAAATCCTGCATTTGTATTTTGGTAAGAAATGATGATGATGGTACTTTTAAAATTGAATAGATTAGCAACACCTACAGGGTTTTGTTTGGCATATTATTTGATTTAACTTAAACTTTCCAATGCTTTGAGCATCGAATGTAGAAATTCTAATACATATATTCTCTAGTTTTTATCAAACATTTTTGAAAGGCTTCGTGACCTTCACAAGCGTCCTTTTTCTAAAGAGCTGTGGCTGGGTATGGTTTTAGTTACGCGAAGTGCAAAAACTATTTTGAAATCAATAGCAATGGATGTTTTTTCAATGCCCTATAGCCTTAAATATTAAAGCATTAACTCAGCCTGCTAATATGTTTTCTTATACTTTTACAGGTACCATGATAGTAAAATGATCAATTATGATTCACAAGGAGGGTTTGTTGTGACATCCATTGGACAAAGTAGCCTGCAGAATCCACAAATCTTTAGAAGCACGCCGGGAAACAAATCTCGCGTGGTGTCGCCTCCCAACTCCGCCAACCCCATGGAATCCAGCAGTGGGGGTGGTGGGGTTCTCAACAACTTACTCGGCAGCTTGGATAGCTTTAAGGGGGCCATCAATCCACCATCATCAACGCCATACGTGCAGCAACATCAGTCTGCATATCTTCTCAATCCTTCAGTGAGTGTTCTCACTGTCAAGCAGGTCAATTTTCGTCATGCCGGCAACTATACATGTGCTCCATCAAATGCCCGTCCTGCCAGCATCACAGTACATGTCTTAAGAGGTAAGGTTCACACAAAAATATAACAAAAGTACAACATTTTAACTGTTTATATTTTTTTGTAGGAGAAAAGACGGCAGCCATGCAGCACGCCAATCGGAGTATCCTAGATACTGAGAACAATGGAAACGGAACCTTTGGATTAATCAGTTTGGGCGGTTTGAATGGAACCAAAAGAACAGGAGTAGCTCCAACCGAAAGCCTGTGTTTCTGTGGCATGTTCCTGGTACTAGCCGCGATAGTATTGGATCGATTCCCGTTAGCAGTTACAGTTACTCACAAGGTATTCGTAGTATCCATTATAGTTCTTATGCATAGCTGAAACTAATAAGTCACGATATTCCGAAGAATGGAGCAACTTCAATCATTCGAAAGTAAAAAGAATTGAATATTTGTTTTAAAATAGAAGAGATGTGTAAATAGATCATTGACATACCATGTATTGAGAATGCGAAAGCATTGTAAGACATTTACGTACTCTAAGATTAAACTGTATATAGACTTCCATTACATGCAATGTATTGAATTGAGAAATAAGATAATTCATCAACTTGTTACCACAACCAAACTTATAAAATGCGGCAGATTTTGAACGATTATGGTAAACATGGTGGTACGAACGATAAAATGTATGCTTAGATGTTCATATTTATTGACTGGTACTGGTACTGACATTTTAATGTTACAAAACAATGGAATTAGCGTAAAACTAAGGATAAAAAAAACTGAAAACCATACAGATTTGTTACCTAATAACTCAAAAATTTGATCGTCACCTTTAACTGTTATTCTGCTCAGTGTTCGATATTTAGTATATAGATTGATTTATGTAAGCACCTTTAGAAGTATGTATGCTAATTCATATATATTGTATGTACAACTGTAAATAAATATTACTTTTGTGGGCGTTTTACAGAGCGCTTAAAGTCTTGCATCTAAACAACAACAACAGGCAGAAATGATGTGCCAGTTTCGTTTTCGTTTAACCTTAAAGATACGGAATACAGTTTTACAAATTTTGTTGCAGAAATAAAAAAGTTTTAAATAAACAGATCAATTTTAAGAAAGTATAACTACATTGTATTTTTAACAGCATTATTATCACTGTGTGGCTTATACACATATGAGTGCGAATTTGTTGTATTTAAAAGTTAACTGTCACTTTCTCCGTTTCTATTCCGGACAAACCTTGACGATACCTTGACTTAATTGTTTATCGATAACAAGTCATCGATCATTCCAGCCAACTGAATAGTGCCATCTTTAGAACATGTTGGCAAAACAAAAAACATGAAATCCGAGTTATTAGCAGCTGCCTTTTTGGGTCTGGCGGTTAGGTCAATAATATCACTATATTCGTACTCGGGTTTTAACACCCCGCCCATGTATGGCGACTACGAGGCGCAGCGCCACTGGCAGGAGGTAACGGTGAATTTGGATACCGGCGAATGGTACACAAACAGCTCCAACAATGACTTGATGTACTGGGGCCTGGACTATCCACCGCTTACCGCTTATCACAGCTATATAGTGGGGAAACTGGGCAAAGCCATAAATCCACGCTTTGTCGAGCTGCACAAAAGCAGAGGCTACCAGTCCCCGGAGCACAAGCGCTTCATGCGATCAACAGTTGTCGCTGCCGATATCCTCGTCTATTTGCCGGCCTTGTTGGCCGTGTGCCTATGCCTAGATAAATCCTTCCAGGGCGATGACAAGCTATTCCTGTTTATGCTCACAGTGGTATATCCGGGTCAAATCCTTATAGACAACGGACACTTTCAGTACAATAATATATCGCTTGGTCTGGCGGCCGCAGCAGTTGCGGCTATCCTGCGGGGTAGACTCTACATTGCTTCGTTTTTCTTTACATTGGCTTTGAACTACAAGCAAATGGAGCTGTACCACAGCCTGCCGTTCTTTGCTTTCCTTTTGGGCGAATGTGTGAACCAGGAAAGGTGGGTACCTGATTAACCTTTACTTGCCTAAAGCAGCTTTTTAATTGTGTTCCTGTTTTTATCCCAACTCTAGGTTTGGTGCCTTCGTTGCTCGACTATCACGGATTGGAGCCATTGTGCTTGCCACATTTGCTATTTTATGGTCTCCCTGGCTGGGTTCGCTGCCAAGGGCTCTTGGAGTCTTGCAACGCCTGTTTCCTGTGGCACGAGGTGTTTTCGAAGACAAGGTGGCCAATGTCTGGTGTGCCATAAACGTGGTTTGGAAACTCAAGTGGGTAAACAAAATATGCAACACATGGCAAACCATTTTTAATTCAATAAACTTTACAGGAAACATTTGCTTAACGACCAGATGGCCCTTGTCTGCATTGGATGTACTTTAATCGCAGCCTTGCCCACAAATATAGCTCTCTTCCGCAGACGTACCCAGCTCGGGTTTTTACTGGCTCTCTTCAACACATCACTGGCCTTCTTTTTATTCTCATTTCAAGTAAGTTTTTTTCTTTTACATTAAAGATTTGTTATTTAACAGTCTTTTGTTTTAGGTCCACGAAAAGACGATACTTCTTGCGGCCTTACCTGCTTTATTCCTACTAAAGTGGTGGCCCAACGAAATGCTCCTCTTCCTCGAAGTCTCTGTGTTCAGCATGCTGCCCCTCTTGGCCAGAGATAAACTGTTGCTGCCAGCGTTAGTATCAACAGTGACATTTCATTTATTATTCAAATGTCTTAGACCTGAGCACAGCCATATGCGAAATATATCAAACATCGTTATGATAATCATTGTGGCTGCTTCTTTGCTGATCCCAGCTCCAGCGCGGTTTCCCGACCTTTGGCCCTTAATTATATCTGTTATTAGTTGTGGCCACTTTGTTTTATTTTTTGTTTGGGGAAATTGTCAACATTTTGTGTTTAAAAGCTAAGACACCAAAGAAATACATTTGTAAATAAAATATATGACATTATTAAGCATTCCATTAAACAGACAGAGAGACCTTCACTTAGTCACATCGTATATATATATAAGCTTATTCCCTCTATCTTATCTGTGTATTCAATCGATAAAGGAGTTACACTATGCTGTTTGTTCGTTTTATTTAGCCAAAGAGAGACCTCTACGATCACTGGAATTTGAAATATATCTGTATATTTGACAAACCCTTAGCAAAGCTCAACATTTTTGGAAACAAACGGAAGAGCCAACATTTTGTTGGCCAGTGTTATCAATGCTTTGGCGCAGATAAGATAATGACTGAAAAAAGATTAGGATTTTAATATGGTGGAACTATGTGCTCTTGTTGTTTAGTCATTTACAATTAATTGGTCGGTGAACAAGCTTCAAAATTTAGTTATTTGTGTGAAAAGTTTCGTTAAAAAAAATTCATCATGAATTTGGTAACTTCAACCATATTGGTTGTTACGATTTTCTGCATCGTTATAACTAAGGTTGCTGGCCAATCGGAAACAACTACGGCGGCAGCAGTTACAAAGGTATTAACAATAGTTTCTTTTTGTAGTTCGAGGAGTGTAAAATGTTATTCAATGTGATTTGTTTTAAAATAAAAATAGAAGAGAGATCTATTAAAAATTGTTATAAATTGTTTCAATATATAAAGCTAACCGAGTAAAATCGAACCGATAAGATACTCGCTGAAGTGAAAAATGAGTCAAAGATAAAAGCCTTTAACAGCCGATAACAGAAAAAGTATTGCAAAAGGTGGAAAATATAAATAACAAAAAAAAAATTGAAGTTGAGTCAAAGCTCTTCCGGTGAATCATATTACTTTTCATTTAAAATATATTATTTTCAGGAAAAAACAAATGTGAAGGAGAGCGCGCTTTGTAAGAAATGCATCTGCAATTTGGACACCAGTTTGCTGGATTGCAGCGAGAAGCTTGGCCAGTGGCTCTCGGCCGAGGAGTGGGAGATCCTGACCAACGGCGATTATGAGTTTAAAACCATCAAGTTGGAGCACAATAACTTGACCAGCGTTGCTATTCTTCCGAAATATAGCGTAGAGAATTTGTATTTGGCGTATAACCAGATCGCTGACATTGCCGACGCAGCCTTCCAGAACCTAACCGAGCTCAGCACCCTAGATCTGTCGCACAACAAGCTGACAGCGAAGGCTCTAAGGCCCGATGTTTTCAAGGGACGCTACTCGGAGAACGCTTTCGAGGCCTTGAAAAATATGAAGTCCCTCAATTTGGGCAACAATGAGATCCATTCCCTGGATGCTGATCTCTTTGAGCACATTCCCTACCTGGAGGAGCTGATTCTGTGCTCAAATACCTTTCAAGTAATTGACAAACTGACAGAAACGGCCATTTCGGGATTGACTTCATTGAAGGTGCGTCATATCTCATGGTTTAGACACTTTTAAAGCTATATTGTACCATTTTAGACTCTGGATATTTCGTATTTGGAAATAGAAGACCTGCCGACGACAGTTCTCCATGGACCCAGAGATCTTGACGATTTGATAGCATCGGGAAATCTGTTCCGTCAGCTCCCAGAGGCTCTGAAATATGCCAAAAACCTGGAACGTCTTGTTTTAGACGAAAATCCAATTGCTAGTTTGGAGGGCGATAAGTAAGACATGCAATTCGTTCAAGGTTTATAGCTATTAAATTTTTATTTTTACTTAATCTCTAGTGTATTTCCACCGATGACTAGCTTGAGGTATTTGCGCATGTCTTATATGCCATATTTGTTTAAAATTGGCACTGGAGCACTCAGTGAATTGCAAAGTAAGTGCAAGTGCTGGGAAAGCTCTATGATAACACCATACAATTTAAAGTTTTCTAATATATTATAAACATTTTTAGACCTCACCGAATTGATTCTGTCCGACAACAAAGTGCTAAACGAAATCGATGAGCTGGCCTTATCTAAAAACGTAACTGGAGGAAGATACCTGGACTATCCCCCATTGGAACACGTAATTAGGAACCACATAACTTTCAAGATAAGATTTTTATAGGATTATTTGCGCAGGTTTATCTGAAGAACTGCAACCTGACGACGCTGCCCACACCTCTACTCGTTCGATGGGATAAGCTGAAGACGCTGGACCTGCGATTCAATCCTTGGAGCTGTGATACCAGCAACGATCACTTGATCAACATCCTGATACAGCAGATTAACAAAACCAATCCTCTGCTGGCCAATGATGTCCTGTGCGCCACTCCGAGTGAGCTGAAGGACGTCACTGTCCTGCGAGTTTCAAATGAACATCTGGCGGCAGGTTCGAGCGGTAGCCTAATCTGGGTTGGACTGCTCGTGGTCCTGCTCATTGCTATTCCAACCATCCTGGGCGCCTATGTGATGAAGCGACGCGGCTGCTTTGGACTGTTTAACCGCAACGAGAACGGTGCCAGCCGTGCCCTCTACAATAGGACCAGTTTCAACGAAGATTTTCATATTTAAGACACACCTGAAATTCTTACTATAAAATAAATCCAAGATGTATATACCATTTTACCACCTAAGCTAAAATACCGTTGATTTTTTTCATTTAGAGATGTGAAATCTTCCCAAGAAACAGCTTGAAACTAACTTTGTTTACACATTTATTGCTATGGTTATTGGATTTCGGAAAATGTAAAGATTAACTTCGTTTCTGCTTAACTTATATAGTTTTTAAACTCAGAATACAGAACACAGACGCACCACACACATTAATTCCTTGCAAAACCAGACTCAAACCCATCAAAGTACGGATGCTTTAGTACATCGCTGGCGGAAATGCGGTGAACAGGATCGTAGATTAGCATTTTCTGGATGAGATTAATACCGTTGGAATCAAGATTCTTAAGCTGGTTGGTTAATTGGTTGGTCGACCAGCAGGGGAATGTATTCTTATAGTCGGGCAGTGAGGTAACGCCTGGCCAAATGTCTTCAGTTGGTGTTTTAAGAATTCTGCAAGACCCAGACAACGTGATTATCATGACAAGTACACAATATAGTTATTAACAAACCTAAACATTCGAAATAGTTGATCGATTTCCGAGTCACCCTGGAAAAGCGGTTTCCTTGTTGCCATCTCAGCGAATATGCAACCAACGGACCATATGTCCACCGGACAGGAGTATCGAGGGGAGCCCAACAGGACCTCTGGTGCCCGGTACCACAGGGTCACGATCTCGTGCGTGTATATGCGTACGGGAATGCCAAAGGATCGTCCCAGACCAAAGTCGGCCACCTTTATCAGGCCGTTCTTGTCAATCAACAAGTTCTGTGGCTTCAGATCACGATGCAGCACTCGCCGACGGTGGCAATAGAGAATGGCACTCGTTATCTGATACAGGTAGCTCCTGACCAAATCACTCTCCATATACTTGTCTGCCGGAAGCGAGTCCATGTACTTCTTAAGGTCCATCGAGAGGAATTCAAAGATCAGATATATGCGATTCTCCTCCATTAGAACGTCCTCCAAACAGACAATGTTTTCATGCTTTAACTCTCTTAGCAATGAAATTTCCCTGTATTGAAAAACAAATTTGTTGAATTAAATTGATAATGAGAGCTATGCTAATCTTGCAAATGTGCATCATTCGAATAAAAAGTTATGAATTGATGTATGTACATACGCGCATATGGCTGTACATCAGATTGTTCTTGCTTATTGGTGTTTTTTACCTAATATTGTCTTAAAGAACACAAAAATACCTTGCAGTATTCACTTAAGAATATGCTTTTTACTTTAACGCAAAACATAAAAAAACATATTCACACATATTTTGCGAAAGGCTTGGATGTCTCCGATTCATCCGACGCCAATGCAGGTTACCTGATTGCTGTCGAAGGGACGCCCTCTTCATCAGATTCCAGACGAATTTTCTTCATAGCAACTATTTGACCGGTTACCCGGTTTCGTCCTTTATACACCACACCATATGTGCCTTCACCGATCTTCTCAATTTTCTCGAAATCTTCCATGATCGGCGAACAATTTTCAAACAACAGCCTTAAATTAGCGCGTTTTTAAAGTCAGACTCCCAATGTTGCCGGACTGTCACAAGTCTGTAAACAAGAAAAGTGAAGTCTACTTAATTTTTGTGTAATTTGAAACATGCACAGTGGAACACAACGAAGAGGAGCTATTATTTTAGCTCAAAATAGTTGATTTTTTAGTCAATATCAGCTAAAACATTGTATTAATAATTATATTTGTAAACTACGAAAGAAAAGATAGATTTTTTTCATTAAAATATTTATGCATTTATTATTATATTATGTTTTTATTATACAATAACAGTTATAAAATAAAAGTTTGCTTAATTTTTTTGTTTTCGTAACAAACAATACTTTTTATATTTAACGATCCAAAACTTTAAAAGTAGTTTAACATTTGATGTAAAATATTTCCCCTTCCAATTATTTTTTGTTTCAGTTTCACTCGTTCCAACTACATAGGCCCATTTGTCGTTATCTTGACGTTGTTACATGCTTGCTACGAAACATACATTTATTTAACAAAGTTTGTATTTGTTCCTGACGAAAAAGAATGTCAATATGTCATTTTTAAGCAGACTTGCTGTTAAATCATCAGGCTTCAGGTGAGTCCTACTCATTTGCAAAATTCAATTCAATGGAATATAATATATGTATTATTTTAGCTGTATTCGTCGAATGTCGGTGTATCCTCAACATTACGCTGAACCGGTTGTACAAAAAAATAAACAGATTGAGCAAAAAAGCGAATTGGCAAAGCTTCATCATGTTCCAATCAAGGCGGCCGTCAACAAGGCTTCAGATACCGTCTTCCATGACGATACCAAGGAGAAGATGGTGAATTATATAACGAAAAAAGGAAATAGTGCTTTGGCCAGATCGCTTCTGTCAAAGACGATGGAACTTATCAAACGCACCCAAACGGAGCACATGAATCTGGCCAAGGGCGACGACAAGGATAAGATCAACACCAATGCTGAAACGCTGCTGAAGCAAGCAGTCGAAAATTGCCGACCGTTGCTCCAAGTGACTGCCATTAAACGAGGTGGAGTGAACTACCAAGTGCCTGTGCCCATAACGACAAAACGGTCGTATTTCCTGGCCATGAAATGGCTCTTGGAAGCGGCCCGCGAAAAGGAGCGTAAAGTCTCCCTACCGGAGAAGCTGGCCTGGGAGATACTGGACGCTGCCCATGGACAGGGGAGGGTAGTAAAGCGAAAAGACGACTTGCACAGGCAATGTGAAAGCAACCGCGCCTACGCACACTACCGATGGAGCTAAATATAACTTATATCGTTCCCGTCCTCCTTTTCTTACAATAAAGTTTAATTTGTTGTTCATTTTCCATTAATTGTTAAATATGTGTCGTGATTATATTTATAGCTATGTAATTCATATTCAGCATTGACAGATGAGTTGAGTTAGCCATGTCTGTCGGGCTATAAAATTTAATTTCTTCGGAGATTTTACTTTTAGTCTCGGAAAGTTTAAGAGATATTGGTACATTTACGAAAAAACAGCTGACCTCAAAAGCGAGTTCCAGAGTGAACACCTTGCAAGTTGCAACAGTGAGATTAAGCGACAGTGTAAAAGGCACCTGGTACTGATAACATACAAAAATCAGGATTTTTTGAGCTATCTGAATAAAACTTTGCAAAATATAAAACACATATTATTATACTTTGTTTTTCTTTTTAATATTTCCACCTACTCCGAGGTAAGACATTTTTGTGTAATTTAATAATTACTAAATTTGCTAACAAGATCCTAAACAGGATAATGGAAAAAATTATACAATTTTTGATTTAGAAAAATTTAAAGTTATAACATTTAAATAATAATAAATAAAAATACTTTTCAGTCCACCGTTTAAAGTGACCATACCACTTCATTGATTTTTAATTTTTTTTTATGTTTAAATACATGATCCGTGTTCCAATTAAAAAAATGGTTTTATATAAAGGTATAGTTATAGTTTTAATTATCTTAAAAGGAATGAAAGGAACAAAATTGTTCAGCTAATTTTGGTATATTGTTAAAATCCAATATTTTTTGCAACAGGTTTGGTTGAACTCGTTTGTTATCTTTAAAGCGATTTATTTTATTTTCACATTTGAATAAGAGTTTAATTTATATAATATACAAATATTAAACAAATGATTTAATATATATACCAAATGTATAAATATATTTATATGAGAGAAAAAAAAAAAAAAAAAACATATAAAAAAAATACTAAAATATTTGAATTTAAAAAAAATTATAAGCCTGCAATAATTTAATTTATTTTAATTTAATGAACTATTTAATATACTTAAAAGTGTACAAATTAATAAAAATTCGCAAGCAAGTCAAAAAGTGGAAAGGTGACAAACACCAAATTATCGAAATATTCATTCAGGGGCTATCGAAACGCAACGCTACAGATGACGCACGAAGAGAACAAAGATGGCGATCCCGAGCACACGAAAATTAAAACGAGCTGAAATTTGATAAATAAAGAATTTTTGTACTTATAGTTTAAATTCGCAAGAGCGCAGTGGAATAAATCAATTAACTCAAGTGTCGTGCGTACTTACAATGTGTAAACGAAGAGTTTATCGCAAAACAGTTCGTTTTTAGCTGTGCATTTTAATATAATCCCACAACACACATAATCTTACTAGTTGAAGTTGACTGGACGACATTATAAAGAAACGAAAAGAAATTGGGTAAATTTACCAATCGCAATCAAGTATAAGGATTCTCGGTATTAATACAACAAAAATGTATATGTAATACATAGGCTGTGGCTCGACGTCAACACTCTCGCTGCAACAAAAGGAATTGCATACATAGAATTTACAGTGGACATTAGGGTGAGTACTTTTCATAAAACTTTTAAACTGAACTACAGGTCCCAGAGTATGTTTTAGTTATTTTGTTTTTGTTTAAATTGTTTTTTGTTGCATTTGGCTTTGCATTTGCGTATGTGTTTGTGCATATACCAATACATGTACAAAGTTATGCACGAATTTATTTCACTTTTTATTGTATGTGGATACCATTTTCATGATTCTGCATACATACACATGTTTGTATGTATGCATGTACGAATGCTCGTAAACAAAGTAACTGCTTATGTATAAATGCATAGGTGTAACATCACATGAATAAGTTACTTTCGTCAGGTTTGTGTGTGTGTTTGATTTATTTATATGTGATATAAATTTAATACATATTTTTAATTTTCTGCATCGGATTCACAAGTTGTATATGATGTACGTACATACATACGTGTAAATCTCATGTAGCGTACGCCTTTTAAGAGAGAATATCAGGTGTAGGAAACATATTCATACAAAAATTACTAAATATGTGAATAAATATAAATAAAAGTTGTTATTATTACATTGGTAAACACTATTTCGGAAATGTTTAGATCAACAGAATAATATTAAAGATGTTTTTTCCTAACGCTATATATTATTATTTTATTATATTAATTTGTGCAATTATGAAAATATTATGTCGTAAAAATAATAGGTATATATATTTTTTTCTGTTAAACTATACATGAATTAAATGTTGCAACTTTTTATATTAAAATAGGTCTTTTGAACAATTTGTATTTTCAAGATAAATATTTAAAATTTTTTAAGATTTAAAATGTCTACGTATACTTTTTTAATTTGGACTTTAAATTAGATCTATATACCTTTTAAATTTCGAAAATTAATTTTATTTTAGTAAACTTAATGCCAGAAATTTAAGTTAAATAAATCTCTTTTAAGCATATACACTAAAAAATCGATTTTTACTACTTTATTAATTTTTAAAATAAAAAAAATTGTAATATCCAAAGCTTAATTAAATAATTATTGATTTGTCTTAACAAAATAATAATCAATCATTCTCAACAAACGAAAACTAACATACGATCTCTGTTGCTTGCTTGCAGATCTATTGCTGAAATGGCGACCAGTGACGACGAGCCGATGCACTTGTATGAGGTGTTCCAGAACTGCTTTAACAAGATAGCCAACAAGCAGCCCACGGGAACAGTTGGAGCGGATCGCAGCGGCGGCGGGGGATACCATTCGCCGTATGGCGGCCTCGGCGTAGAGAATGGCATGTACCCCAGTGACTTTAGCTCGATGCACGATGCAGGAAACGGGGGCAACAACAATCGCTTCGCCAATGCCTCGACCGTCGATCAGTATTTTGATTCAGCTGCCGCCGTTGCCGCCAGCAGCGGAGGAGGAGGACCGTGGTGCCAGTCGGGTCAAATGGTGGGCAGCGGTAACAATAGCTATATGGGCCAGGCAGCGGCATACCAGAATAGCGGTCCGCTATCGTCGCACGCTCTGGACCAACAACAGCAGCAGGTGCATCAGGCGGAAGGACTTGGTATGGGCGCCGACGGCATGCTCTGTCCAGTGTCCACGGCATTGCCGCCGATGAGCTCCTTCCGTGCCAGCTCTGCCGGTGGACAGCAGCAGCAGCAGCAGGCTCCAGTTAACGTTAATTCCCCAGCCGTGTTCAACTCGCCGCAAGCCCACAATCACAACCACAACCACACAGTACAAGCACAGCACAGTGCACTGTCCACGGCTGGACCGCTTGGCCATCACTCGCTCAACCACACCGCGCCGCATCCACATTCCTCCCTAACACATCCGCACGCCCTGCCCCACGCTCACGCCCACGTCCTGCCCCACGCCCATGGCCATCACAGTCAGCAGAACAGTCCTGCGGTGCAGAGTTCGGAAGCGTTCAGTGGTGGTGGCGGCGGCGGCGGGGCCAGCGTGAAGGTGGCCGGAGCTGGTAACTCTTCGGCAGCGGCCCTGAGGCAACAGCAGATGTATATGCCGGCGGATCAAAGTATTAGTAGTTTCGGCTCAAACCCCTCCACGCCTGTTAACTCGCCGCCGCCTTTGACCCAATCGGTGGTCGTCGGAGAGCCGTCCGTTTCTGGAACCGCTGGCTGGGGTCATTCGGTGCGAAATGGCAGTGGCGGCGGCGGCGCCAGTTCAAGCTATGCCAACGATATGGTTCCTGTGTCCAGTCTACACACAATGGCCTCAGTGTTCCAGGGAGTGCGCATGGAGGAGCGTCTGGATGATGCTCTAAATGTGCTACGGAATCACTGCGAACCGGAGATGCTGGCCGGCGTCAATCAGTCGTTGGCCTCAATCGACAACATGGATGCGGCGTTGGCTTCCTTCGTGCCGAACTCGCCGCCGTCGTCGCATCTGGGCAGCGGCGGTGGAAATGCCGGCTCCAATGCGGCCTTGGTCCACGAGGTGCTGGCCTTGGGCGCAGCAGCTGCGGGTCAGGCTGGAGGCAGTCTGGCTAGCCTAAAGCTAGATCGCAGCGGTGCTGCGTCCACGTCGTCAAAGCAAGCGAAAAAGCGGAAGGAGCACACGGCCATTAGCAATGCGACGGCGTCAGTGGTCCCAGCAGGCGTCTCCACTACCACCTCAAGTCTGACCAGTTTGGACATTTCTTCGGACACGAAGCCAACTAGCTCTATTGAGTCCTCGAATTCGGGACAAATGGGGCAGCATTCGGGCTCGAAGGGGTCGAAGAGACCGCGTCGCTACTGCTCGTCGGCTGAGGATGACGACGACGCCGAGCCGGCGGTAAAGGCCATTCGCGAAAAGGAGCGACGGCAGGCAAACAATGCACGCGAGAGGATTCGGATTCGGGATATAAATGAGGCGCTGAAGGAGCTGGGACGGATGTGTATGACGCACCTGAAGTCGGACAAGCCGCAGACGAAGCTGGGCATTTTAAATATGGCCGTTGAAGTGATTATGACTCTGGAGCAGCAGGTACGCGAGCGTAATCTGAATCCGAAGGCGGCGTGCTTGAAGCGGCGCGAGGAGGAGAAGGCCGAGGATGGACCGAAGCTAAGTGCTCAGCAGCATCACATGATACCGCAACCACAGCCGGGCGGAGGAGGAGGCGGTGGTCCTGGGAGCAGTTATCACAGCCAGCCTGCGCAGACCATCAGTAGCATGACCATATCCCTACCCGTCAACCAGGCCGCCAGCGGCGTCCTGCCACCACATTTGCAGCAACAGCAGCAGCAGCAGCAATCGCAGCTCGGGCACGTCCAGCTTCCGCAATAGCATGCACCAAGCAGGAACCATCCATCGTCGTCGTCGTCCCTCTCTTCCATAAAAACCGAATGTATTGAGGCCAAGTACTCGGCAGCAAGCTTGGAACTGGTGGAGAATCAGGTTTTAAGCAATATGTTCTGGCGTTGTCGTCGTCCTCCCAAATTGCAGCCACAACAAAAATCCCATGTACAACACTTTTAAATACACCCACGCATACAACAACAAATATAAAAATTAAAAAACTAAAAACAAGTATAAAAAAAAGAAGAAAAGCGCCCAAATGATTGCCAATCCACAACACACACACACACACTCTCTATTGCTCTTTTTTTAAACAACGATTGTATATAGCTGTTCCATTATGTTTAATAACCTTGGGAAGATCATTTTCGTTTCTTTTAGAATGTTTTTCGATTTTAATATTAATTATTTGTTTATTTTGTGCGATATATATCACCGTAGCCATATTTTTTTATATATACATACATACAAAATACAATGCATACAACATAACGACATAATTAAGTAAAAACAAAAAATAGTTTTATAATAAAAGAAATGAAAAAAAAAAAGAAAAAGAAAAACACAACACACAACACATAGACTTACTTCTATATATTCCCGAGAGAGCTAAGGAATAAATATGTCCATATTAATATATATATTTTATATTGTGTTACAAATGTTCTTCTTGTGTGTGATTACAGAGCGACATTTTGCACATAACGACGGTGAAAAGCCACGGAAAATTAATCGTTATCTAAGATCCTTAGCTGGTAATTGTTGTAGTTAAAACTTAAGGCTTCAAAGAGACACGCGGTCGTGTGTGTTGCATATACTTTAATTAATTATACGTATATATACATATATTTTTCGCTAGAGTTAGGGCAGCCGGAATTAAGAAAAAAAAGAAACGAAGCCATCATTATAATATATAAATAATAACTGAGATGGAAAGTGAAGTTAATGCATAGTTAATGTTGTTATATTCCCCGAGAATGCATGACATGGAAGACTTTGAATTCTATATCATACATTCTCACATTTGCCCCGATCTTTTCTTAGCTTTTGGTACATTTTACACCGCTTATAACAACATTACATCTTCATCAAACTAACTTGTACAATTCTTAGACTTCATGACTTCAATATAATTTCGTTATGAATAAATGGTATAATATCACGTTTATACCTTAATAATATTTGTCTAAAGCTGTCGATTTTATTTGTTTGTAAAATTTAAGTTGTGACTTGGCTAAAGTGAAAGGACCCCTGTTTGTATTTGGGATGTACATATATAGATAGGCACATATACCGGTTAAGTTTGATATATCGAGTTAAAACAGGGACCGTAAATAATGATTATCCGAAAAATGTATATCCCCGAAATCCTTGTTGGATAATCTATCCACTTCGAATTTAAACGATGATTCATCTCTTTTATAGAACTCCTAAGGACTCTATTTCATATCATGTAATCAAAGTTGATATTGAAATCGATGCCAAGAAAAAACTTATTCACGAACTTAGCATTAACTCCCATGTCCTTGAAGCAGCATAGACTTTTGACATTATTTACAAATCGTTTTTATTGCCATGAACTTTGTTCCTAAATGCACAACTATGAAATTAATAATTCCGGCTTAATGTCACCTACTCTTCTACAAGTTGGACACATTCGAATCCAATACAGACAGCGCCTCGTCCTTCTCCTCCTGTAGCTCTTTGCCAGTTACGCTCAACTTGGTCTTGGCAAAGTCGCTGAGTGTGAGGCCCTCGACGATCTTCCACTGCTTGTTCTTGATCTCCACGGGGAAGGAGAAGATCACATCCTTGGGCGAGCCATAGCTGCCGTCGGAGAAGACGCCCATCGAGGCGAACTTGCCGGGAGCAGTGCCGTTCCACCAGTCGTGCATGTGATCGCATGCGGCCTTGGCCGCCGACATGGCCGATGACATCTTGCGGGCGGCGATCACCGCAGCTCCGCGCTTCTGGACCGTCTCGACGAAGGCACCCTGCAGATAGGCCGTATCGTTCACAGCCTCAACCACCGATTTTGAGGAACCGTTGACTGTGACCTTGCCCTGGCCAGCATCGGGATACTGAGTCGAGGAGTGGTTTCCCCAGATGATGATGTTGTTAACTGCGGAAATGGGTACACCCAACTTGGCGGCGATCTGGGAGGTGGCACGATTCTGGTCCAGCCGGGTCATTGCCGAGAAGTTCTCCCGTGGAATGGATGGGGCATACGAAGAGCACACCAAAGCGTTGGTATTGGCCGGATTACCGACGACCAGCACTTTCACATCCTTCTTGGCGAACTTGTCCAGTGCCTGGCCCTGCGTCCTAAAGATCTTCACGTTCGCAGAGAGCAAATCCTTGCGCTCCATTCCCTCCTTGCGGGGCATGGCACCCACCAGGAAGGCGGCCGACACATCCTTGAAACCAACAGCCGGGTCGGTGGTTGGCACAACCTCCACAAGTAGCGGCAGAGCACAATCGGCCAGCTCCATGACCACACCCTCTAGCACACCGACCATAGGCGGAATATCCAGCAGATGGAGAATGATGGGCTGCTCCTTGCCGAAGACCTCGCCGCGGGCCACCATGTACAGGAGGGAGTAGGCAATCTGGCCAGCAGCTCCAGTCACCACAACGCGAATTGGTTCAGCCTGGAAAATGGGTTGAAAGCGTTTAAGAGTCTTGTTAAATAGGGATTTCTTTTACTTGTACATATGTCTGCACATATTATCCCTAAAGATGCATACATACTTGGTTACTTTCTGCCCATTTTAATAAATATTTACGACAGAAATTACAGCTAAGTATAGACTGCAGCTGCGCTAATTATACATTAATCAGAATGGTGCATTTTCCATCCGAATTTATTAGATTATTTATTTTTAGACAGTTGGCACACAACATCAACATTTAAATAAAAGGATTTCTCTGGCGAATCAGAACATCAAGTGTAAATATGATAGCCTACAACAAACAAATATATCACTAGTGTTTATTTAGTGTCAGGTTAGAGTGGAATACGACTTGCAGATACTCTATAATTAATTGGAACATGATCTTAATATAATAAAAAAAATCGATTCTACCCCATCCTTGTTACGCAATCTCAGTTAATCCTTTGCTAAGAAATCAAGTAAATGTAGGGCACAGGTTGCTGGCAATTAACCCTTGTCCTTGTTTTCCCTATTCACACATACAAATGCAACGTTCGCGTTCACAATAGACACAGATGCGTGTGGGGGAGGAAAAAACAATGCAATTTGCTGATGGATTTTAAGCCGGAACTTCTGGTGTGTTTACCAATTATGATAAGATATGACATTTGAACTGTTTTTGGACTTTGCTTTTCCGGCCCGCAATCAACTACATATGTATATATACATATATATGTGGGGGTATGCAGTTTATATAAGAGTTATCTGCGCTGGAAAAATGTACAACAAGGAACAACAAATTGTTTTATCTTAGTCAATTGCCAATTAGCCTGCATTCAAAATCATTTTAAGCTCTTCAACGCCGTACATTTGTGTGTATGTATGTTTGAATTTACGTCAGATTGGCTTTTAAAGATTAGCAGGGAGAGAGAGGTCGAATGAATGTTAAATTTCCAGAAACAATTTTGCCACACATACTTCCATAACTGCACAATATTATTCTACAACGTTGTGCGAGTGTATACCACTAATTGTTTAAAATGCAAATTTTTTAATTATTAATAAAAATTTGATACTGTGTACTATATATTAAACCGGTAACGTACCATTTTAAGAATTTATCAGGTGCTTCGAGGTAAAAACGCGAATTCTTTGGAGCTCAGTGTTGTCTTTTCTTAGCAATGTGACCAGATCTGAAGATTACATTTTGCCTAGCGGTTAATGTCAAATATAAGTTTTACTTCCAAACAGTGTCAAATGTAGCAATGGGGTAGAAGGTAAGTAAAACGGGGTCGAATTCCCAGTCGGTAGGGAAAATGGCCAGATTTTAGGTCAGTGTTGTCAATTGAGCTTAACTAAAACTAAATTCTTAAAAAAAAACATAATATTATCTTAAACCCACAAAAAAAAACCTATTTTAGTATTAAGATAGCTAGCCCATAGCTATACCAATCCCATCTCCAATCTGGTATTTTTACTCCAAGTTATCGAGTTGTGAATGTGCGTATATCGAATGTTTCGTGTGAAAAAAATTGAAGTCTTTAATTTGGCGAATCCATTCGTTTACTTTGCGTTTATTTTTAGCCTTAGTACTTTCGTTTGATACGTTTGCTACCAAGTATTCATAATAATATTAAAAAGCGTTCAGGAGCAACAAACAGAAATTTCAATTCCAAATTGAATATCCATCAAGTATTCAGAGTGAATAAAGGAAAACCTACATCACACCTACAATCATACGTGTTACGTGTACATACATATGTGTATGTATATACTCGCTTATGTACATTTATCGTTTTTATTTCCTATTTGCTTATTGTTATTCCCTTATAAATCGACTTCCCATGCAATTTGTTATGCGTTTCGGGAGCTCTTGCCCAAATTTGTTCACGTAAAACAGTGCATGTTTGTGAATAGTGGTGGTAGCAAAAAGAAATGTACGTGCTACGTGTGTACATGTATGTAATAGTGCTTATGTGCGCATTTATAGTAGGTTAACAAATTACTGATGTACATCTAAAATGTATTTTTTGTTGTTGCAACGGATAAATATTGCATACTGGTCACACATATTGAACACATACATACCACCGGTTATTAATACTTTCTTTTCTACAAAGAAGAACAAAGCTGTAACTTGTTCCTGTGAAAACGTACATATTTAAGTGGATACGTTAAAATCTTTCTTGATCTCTGTTATGAAAAGGTATCCATATTTAAAAATACACTTGTTTGTATGCGTGCAGACGGTCGTGCATACATGCATACATTCGTGTGCATGTGGGTGCCATTTGTATATATACGAGAGACACCTACCGAAACCGTAAACATGAAAGTGGATGTAATCAACATTGGTCCAAACGATGTATAAACCAAGAACAGTTATGAAAATGATTCATCACCCGCGATCGATCCGTGTTTCCAACTTTTTTTCTTTGGAAATTATTGTTATTGCTGGAATGAAACAGAAGACGCAAGGTTTATCCACAGGTGTCGAGTCTCGTAAACTTGTTTTCATAGTGTGCAAAATACAAATTGCAATGTTTTGATGAATCATGATTTATTTTTGATATAAATTAGGGAGAATATGTTGGGGCACAGAGGCTCAAGTTCTTAATGAACTATCTCACCTTGACGTAGGTGTCACAACTTTAATTATTTTTTCTGTATTACATATTTTTCAGATTGGTTCCCAAAAAATTAAAATTTAGCACTGGGAATTCGTAAACTACACCTGAAAAAATGAACGGCCTGAGCAGTAATGATGACGCCGTCGAGTGTCCCTTGTGCATGGAGCCTCTGGAGGTGGACGATCTGACATTTTTCCCCTGCACCTGCGGCTACCAGGTGGGCATAGCACCCCAAACACAATCCTCTTTGGCCCAAATGAAATTTATTTGTTATTTCCTAGATCTGCCGATTCTGTTGGCATAGAATCCGCACGGATGAGAACAAGCTGTGTCCGGCATGTAGGAAGGAATATCCTGAGAATCCGGCTGACTTTAAGCCGCTAACGCAGGAAGAAGTGAGTTCATGATCGCTTTAACATTTCTGTCACATTCTCATGCCAAATACTTTCCCAATATCTTTAGATGATTGCCTTCAAGTCTCAGAAACGCCAGAGGGATCAGCAGCGAAAACAGAAGATCACGGAGAACCGAAAGCACCTGGCAAACGTGCGTGTGGTCCAAAAGAACTTGGTTTTCGTTGTTGGTTTGCCACCGCGACTTGCTGACGCAGACGTAGGTTGAGCTAGAGCTTGAATTGAGAACGTACTAACATTGTGATTGTGACTTTTACAGATATTAAAGAAACATGAGTATTTTGGTAAATATGGGAAAATTCATAAAGTCGTTATAAATCCAAGTACCACGTATGCCGGGGTCCAGGTAAGAGTTGTAAGATTCAATTATTTATTTACCTATTCCTATATTTTTAAATATTTACGGTGGTCTGTCCACCAATACCCGAGTTGATGAGCATTTGTTTTTAGGTTGGTTTCCCTGAGAACTTGTCCACATTGAGATGTTCTCATTGAAATCGAAAAACAGATTATCAAAATTTATTTTGAATTCCAAATTTGGTTAATTACCTCTGATCGGGTAAGCGAAAACTACACGTAATATATCTGTATATATGTTGAATTATTTTGTACATTTATTCAAGGCGAAATTTGGTGTTAAAATCTAAAACTTTTTATTTTTTTAGGGACCAGAACAGGTGGGCTACAGCCAAAAATCAAGTATTGTATGCGCAAATTATTAGTTTCCTCTGAATCTAAAATCTGCAAGGGTATCCATAGTTTCGGCCAAGCCGAATCCTACTGATTCTATCTTGTTTACTTATTTACATTAACTTTCAAATTAAAGGGTCCATCTGCCTCGGCCTATGTTACATACGTTCACAATTCGGACGCCTTGCGGGCCATTCAGAGCGTCAACAACATTATGATCGACGGGCGACTCATAAAGACCAGCTTGGGAACAACAAAATACTGCAGCCACTTTATGAAGAACCAGCAGTGTCCCAAGGGCGACTGTATGTACTTACACGAGCTGGGGGATCCCGAGGCCAGCTTCACAAAAGAGGTAGTTATCGCCACAGCCAATGTATATTACATTTCATATATTTTATAATATATGCTTATGCTTCCTGTAGGAAATGCATCAGGGAAAGCATCAGGAGTATGAGAAGCGACTGCATGATACTCTTATTGCGTCATCTGGACCGAATACAGCAGGTATTATAAATGGTAACGGCGCTGCTTCTAAAGCAAATGGTAATTTTATCGCAAACTGGCAACTAAATGAACTGATAATAAACCCAAAATAGGCGCAATTCCGTCATCGTCGTCTGCCTCATCCTCGTCATCGTCGTCGGGATCCGCAGCGGGAGGAGGAACCGCAGGTGCGAATACTACCAACGGAGGAGGATCAGCGAATAATGTTCAGCAAAAGGAGGCGTGGCCCAGCTTATCGGTTTCGCCTATCAATGGAAGGGAGGCGGCGAATGCGAATTCAAATTCCAGTAGCAAAAGTAAAAGGGAAAAGCTGAGAAACGAGAAGCGACACGAAAAGAATAAAACGAAGAATAAGAATAGTGGTAATGGTAATTCCAATGCCTCAAATAAGGAGAACAATGTTCCCGAAACGAGAGGCAGCACAAATACCGAGACATTCGCCGAGGCAGCAACAGCGGAAGCACCGCCGCCCCCTGCTACCAAGGCGGAAACAACGCACAGCTCCAGTAATAATCGATCGAGAAAGGATCGGGCTAAGGAGCAGAAGAAAAGCAAGGATACTGGACCAGCGCCCAAGCAGACGGAGCGAGTGGAGCCAAGAGTAGAGGGTATAACAATACAAAAGAAGCAAACAGAAGCCACGGATGATAGCTGTGAAGATAGTTTACCACAAAAGAGATTAGCAGCGACAGCAGCAGCAGCAGTGGCAGCGGCAGCTGCAAACGTTGAAAGATCTCTCAGCTCGTGTAGCGAAAATAGCGAGGGTCATGTCTCCACAGAGAGTAGTGTAAGTGAAAAGAGTGATTTCCAGGAGGAGAAGTGCAATAGTGTGAATTCGGAGAGCCAGCCAGAAAGTGTACAGATCCCGGAGGAAGAGGAGGAGGCCGATAATAGCAAAGAGGCTAGCGTCGAGTCCGAGCCGAATGTGTCGTCTGGTTCGACACCAGTGGCTAGCGAGACCATTAGCAGCAGCAGCCCTTCTGTTGCGCCAAACAGTAGTAGTCAGGAAGCAGGCGGCTGTTTGCCCGAAGAGCCCGCAGAAGAACCCCTAGATCTGGAGGAGATCGGTAGCCAAGTGACTGGTACGAGTCCTAATTTCACTCTTAACTGGCAATTCCCTAATCAATCTTTTAATTACAGATGCTCTGTCTAAGCTCAACATATTCGATGATGCGCCCAGCTTCTTCTCATCGTCATCATTCCAGCAAGCGCCCTTAATCAAGAATAAGCTAGATTTGGAGATGCGACAGTCTCATTTGCCAGACTTGGTGAACGGTAAGAGTGTGAAAAGCGAGATAACCAACAATTTATTAATTCTGTTTGCCTGTAAAATATTAATTATATATTTATCTTTTTTTTTATCTTTTCGGTCACAACACAACAGATATTGATGGAATTCAAAAGGCATCAAATGCAAATGGTAATTAGTTATTTGCATTCTATAAATAATTCCTATTTAAAACTATAATAAAATAAATGTAAATCCTTTATATACCTTTTATATTTAAATATTTTCAGAATGGGAGGAAGCCTTTAAAAATGTGATGTTACGCAATACGAGGCATGTGGAGGAGCAACTGCTGCAGCAGCAGCATCTGCAACAGCAGCAGCAGCATCACCATCAGCAAGTATTGCATCAGCAGGAGGAGTTCCTTCGCATGCACGAGCTACAGAAACGTAACAACTTTGCGAATAATATATCGCAGATCAATGGACCTGCAAATGGTGAGTTTTTAACTGGAAAAAAGTATACAACTTATATTTATGTATATATATATATTTTTTTTTTTTCAGATTTTCTTAGCCATTTCCAGGGCAATTCTCTTGATTTAAATCGAGCTCAGGCCCATGCTCTCTTACAGCAGCAACTGCTTCAGCAACAGCAGCAGCAGGCAGGTGATAATCTGTTTGGCGGCAACATGTCCAAGTTCTTTGATTTCCATAAAACACAACAACAATCATCGGCACACCATCCGTATCTTAATGGACACAACACGCCGCAGATGAATGGCAATGAGCCACAGCGTGTGGCGGCCTTCATGGAGAACAATCGACTGAATTCTTCGCCTTTTGTGGAAAATGGTTTGAAGCCAAGACTTGTTTCTTAATTCCACTAGATTTTCTTATAATTTGTCACATTTTTAGGACTTATTAACTCACAACAGCAGCCTCAGAAGCAGAGGCTGATGGGAATGTTTGAAAATCTGGTGAGTTTTTCCTACAAAATATTTGCTATAATATATTTTATAACTTGCTTTCATTTTTATTCTTAGCCCCCAAATTCGCAATCTCAACAAAATCGGTTTACTCAGCCTAGCTCTATAGTCGATGATGACTTAGGTAAGCAGGATTTTCCGATTGTATATAGACTTTGTTTAACCTTTGTGCCTCACACCAGGTTTCGATCCCTTCATTGAGACACAAAAGGGACTCGCTGAACTGATGGAGAATGAAGTTGTGCAACAACAGAGTATTAACACGGAGAACGCCGCCGGTCCTAAGTTGCCGCCGCTACAGCAGCCTCAAGTACCACCGCCCCATCATCAGCAGCATCCGCATCATCAGATGGTGGACAATATGCAGAGGGCACGCATGCCCCCGCCGGGCTTTAATCATGTGAATGCTTTGGGCTTGGGCGGAGGGCCGTCTAGGCTCCAGCAGCACACGAGTAAAATGATGCCCTTCATGAATATGGCGCAGCAAGGGCAGCATCAAATGCCGATGGCTGCCAACTGGAATCACCTGGCGGCCATGCACCAAAATCCGGGACAAAACGTGGGCGGTGGGGATTCACAATTACCACATCCAATGGCACATAATAAGGGTGAGTTATAGTCTATTTCAGGACAAAAAAAGGACCTGTTTAATAATATAGATTCAGAAATAATTTATTCAACATTTCGTACGTTCTACTACACAGTTTACAACAACAGTGATTGGACAACAATGGATCCGGCAATACTTTCGTTTCGACAGTTTTCATCATTTCCCCAAAACCAGATTCCACCACATCCTCAACAGCAGCAGGACATGTTTTTGCAGCATTTGGCTCAACAGCAGCAACAAAATTCCCAAAGTGGTGCGTTCCCGCCTCCAAAAACGAACTTAACAGATACAAATTTCAATTAATTACTTAAACGTTGGTGTTCCTTATCGTAGGTTTCAACAATCAGCCACAGCAGCAGCCACAATTGGCAATGCCCAACATGGCAGCGATGGCCAATAACTTGCTAAACGGACAGTCGCAACAGCAGCCACAACAACAGGTCAATGCCAATGTTCAGGGCATGCTTGAGTTCTTAAAAAGCCGTCAATTCGTTTAGCTACAATATACAATTATTACATTTGTTTACCTGTACTCTTTATTAAATATTTCTTAAAAAGTAAATATAGGCAAAATAAATTCGAATATAATGAAATTACAAACATGATACAAAAGCGCAACACACACTCTTTGGATAGTCAGTGCCTATGATTTCTCGCAATGTGTCCTTATTTCTGGATCCTAGAAAGCGGCACAACACATGTGGCCGCACTACACCCAAAGGATTCCGCTTAACAATATACAAAACTGTTCATTCCAATTGCTTAAGCAGGAGAAGTTCGTGTGAATGAAATAATCGAGACTGGGCATCATTTTGTAAAAGTTTCATGTATAAAAATGTCAACTTTTTAATAATAAATACTTGACTTAAATGGTTGAAGGGAATTTATTACTACTACTACGCCGGTCGCCGTCTGTACAATAACTATTTTCTATTGTTTTTGGCAGCATGTGGCAGGCGATTCCCTTGTTGACCAGCCGCCCCTCCCAGGCGCATTGCATTGTTGCTAGGACCTCCTCCATAGCCTTGGCCACTGCGATTGCCGGCATTGTTTCTGTTGCCACCACCTGGTCGACCACCACCGCCGCCTCCGCGTTGATTTTGCGATGAGTTGCCGCCACGGTTCTTGTTCATCTCCGTTCGGTTCCGTGACTTTGCCTGCGCGTCCTCCTTCACCATGTCGATGACTTCGTCGGGAATACGCAAGTATTTAATGGTACTACCACGGATGTAGCATTCCGGCATCCGCCAAAAACGATCGCCATCCTGCATGGGGAGATTATGTTAATTAATTGGACTCTAATGATAATTTAACTTTTACCTTTGAGGTGCAAATTACATCGCGCAGATTGATGTTCATCCAGGAGTCGCAACTGACCAAGTGACCATTGTAAGTTTCACCATTTTTCAGCTCCACCAACTAGAAACCAAAATGTACATAAGTTATACGTATAAATAATTTAACTAATCGATCTTACCATAGGATGGCTCTGCGCCGTTTTTAACAGTGACAGTGGTAGCTGGAATGCAATTAATTTAATAACATATTTTATTTACCGCAAAATTAATGTCGCTTACCATTTTGTTCAACTAATCGATTATCGATTAACACGGCGATAAAAAGAGATGGGAGGAAAAATGTTATTGTTGAAACGAACGGAAAGGAAACACAAACGAGAGATTTGAAAAAAAAATAGAGTATAAATTATTTAGAATTAAAAAAAACTTAATACTTGTGCAAGTAGAACTTTGTTTTTCATGTAATTTATTTAATAAGCAAACGACTTAAATATAACAGTCAATGTACATTGTATTTATTTTAAAACAGATCGGGTTTGCAACGCCTGCAATTCATTTAAAAGTAGGGCGATGTTGTAGCGCACTTGTTGAAACATGGATAGTGGTAATTCCAGAGTTCGAAATTCTTTGTTTTGAAGTTTAAAGTGAAGGACTATGGTTGGCTCATCCATGTGAACAGTGCTGAAATATGAACTTTTTTTGTACAGAAAACTAGATAAATAAAAAAAGTTTATATTTACTTGAGAGATAAAGAAATGTTAATTCTCCACTGCATTTTGGAAATTTTAGGACGGTCCATTTTAGTTTCTGAAAAGTTTTTGCACAGAATCTCCCGATGGTTTAGTAGAACTTTGCAAATGTCATCAACGTATTCTTCTGTAAAGCTAATATACATATAAAGAAATAATTAGTTTCATTATTTTTAGGAATAGTGCGAATATTGTTTACGCCTCTGTACATATGTATGTAAATGAATAGAATTACTTACTTCAAATCATCCATCAAACACTTTCGCAGCTCATGATGTTTTACTACGCCTTTTGGATATCTTAAAAATATTTGCATCATCAGGAAAACCATTGTAAAAAGTTCACAAAAGTTTGGCGGAATTTTATGGCCTGCATTTGTTACTTTGTTTAATGCAAGTGAAAGCACCTCAGAGGAAGACTTTTTTGTCTCAATAAAGTGCACAGAAACTTGGATAAGGACCCGAAGCATTGATTTCGAGAGTTGCGGTACGAATGGAGTGTAGGGCTTAACACTCCTCAAAAGATTATATCTGAACATAGACGACATGATTGTTAATGCATTATTTTTATTGGTTGTTAACGTAAACAAACTAGTGATGACCCAATTTCGATATATACAAAATCGATAATCCTTCACAATAGTTCACCATTTCAATTTTCAATATAAAACTGGTGTTCCATTTCCAGCGTTCCTATAAATATCAGAACGTATATTGGTATTATTGGAACATGCTTAATGGTTAGAACGACACATAAAAAATTACCATACCAAGGGTTAATTTAATATAATAAATGACACCTGAATGAGATAATAGCACATGTCAATCATACATTCGCTTACATATACAATTACATCACATACTTAAGTTTGTTTAGTTGGGTTGATAGTAAAGATTTAAACAGTTAAAATTGGACCTGAGTAGCAGTGCAATTAGTAATTACCACCTGCAATTCACGCTGTCAATCAAAAGAAATCACTTATCGTATAAAAGGATGAAATGCTTGACAGAAATTACCATTCAATATGAAGTTCTCACTCGGTTTATTTATTGTCACACTCGCTATAAGTGGAGTAAGCCTAAATATGGAAATATCCGTTTTAACCAATTTTATTTTGAACTTGGTTAAAACCAAGCATACTATCTTGTTTTCATGTTCAGCGCAAGGTAAGAATAAAAGATTATATTGTAATTTATACATATAATTTATATTTTCTTTATTTTAATATAATGGAACCAATTAGATTTCCAAGATGCGCCTGCAACCCTAATGGCCCTAAACCAATTAGTGAGTGTCGTTAATCTTAACGAATATTATTATTTGCCTTCAGTACTGACAAGAGAAAGTCACGCTCGCACTACGGTTGTGGTAAACACCAGATGTAACGGAACATCTGAGCTCCTTTCTGAAGCATCTGAAAATAGATACTTTAACAAAACCTATCAATGGTTCCTCTGGGGCATTGGCCTTGAGGTTCAAACGTTGTTTCCATTAGAACTCGACTATGTTGGCCCCAACGCCCAAATAACATATGTTAATAAAACCGATAATGGCTTCGCATATTGGGATGTTCACTCAAAAGGTCGACATTTACGATCCGTATTGGAGGTTAATTTAATAGGTACTTTCGAAAATGGTAGAATGAACAAGGTTAGCGAAATATTTTATTTACAAAGCATTGAGTTTCGCGGTCAATTCAACGGGATTACCCTAAGAGGAGCCAGTGTTGTATGTAATTTATTACAGCCGAATAGAAAAATATAATAATTATTACATATCCGCAGATCGACAAGGATGACATTATTTCAAATGAACAAATTGAATCAATTCTTTCACGACCAACCAAAGATTCCGGTGTGGCAGCATTTATAAAATATCACTATGAGCTATTGAGTCTTTTGAGAGAACGTTTCAATTTCACCGTTAATTTTCGAAATTCCAGAGGTTGGGCTGGACGTTTGGGAAACACAACTTTTCGACTTGGGCTTTTGGGAATCGTAATGCGCAATGAGGCTGATATTGCAGCATCTGGAGCCTTCAATCGGATTAATCGGTTTGCCGAGTTTGATATAATACATCAAAGTTGGAAATTTGAGACGGCGTTTCTGTACCGGTATACGCCAGATTTGGATACCCATGGATCAAGCGGCAACTTCTTATCCCCATTTAGCGATAGAGTTTGGGTTTTCTCCCTGCTAACTGTTGCAGCTGTTAGCATAATATGGGTTATATTTGAGATAATTGATAGCACTTTGCAACGAAGGAGAGCGGTTTTGAAAATTGAACCTAATGTGAAGAAAGATAAACATGACATTAAAACTACTTGCGTAGAAAGGATTCTACAGACATTTGGTGCTATGTGCCAACAGGGTTTGGACCCCACTCCTAAAGATCGTTCGGTGCGCTTCCTCGTAATTACATTATTTCTGTTTTCCCTGGTAATGTACAATTATTACACATCTTCTGTGGTCGGCGGATTGCTGAGCTCTTCAGATCAAGGACCTGCAACAGTGGATGAGATAACCTCTAGTCCGTTAAAAATATCATTTGAAGACATTGGTTACTACAAAGTTTTATTTAGAGTGAGTACTTTTTAGTTACATACATATATTTTATGAAACTAATTTTTTAAAAATTTAAAGGAAAGTAAAAATGTTTCTATAACGAGATTAATAGAAAAGAAACTGTCTTCAACGAGATCTCCAAATGAATTGGGGATATTTTCTCATATTGAAGAAGCTGTTCCATACCTCAAGGCCGGCGGTTTCGCATTTCACTGTGAAGTAGTGGACGCTTATCCAGTAATTGCTGAATTTTTCGATGCTAATGAGATATGCGATTTGCGTGATGTCTCTGGACTAATGGAAGTTGAAATTATGAATTGGATATTACACAAAAACAGCCAGTATACCGAAATTTTTCGAACAGCGTAAGTTTAAACTAGTTAAAATAAAAATAAATTAAAATATGTTGATAAAATATTATTTACAAAATTTTTTGTAGAATGTGTAATGCTCAGGAGAAGGGGTTTGTGGAACGCATCCTTCGACGGCGACAAACCAAAAAACCAGCTTGTCAATCATTGTACACTGTGTATCCTGTAAGTCTAGCTGGTGTCTTTCCTGCATTCATAATTTTAATCAGTAAGAATTCTGAAAATATAACTTTATTTGAAAATTTATTTCATATATTTGTTACACAGGTGGATGTGCGGTTTCTCTCTTATTATTGGGCTTAGAGGTATTTTATGTTTATTTAAGCACACAGAAACTACAAAATTATTTTTAATACAATTAAAAATAAAGACAAAATAATTTAAGATTATTAATAAATATGTTTCATTCAATCTGTATTTTGTTTCATTCCGCACGTTTCTAAATGGGTACTAATTCACCAACACGTTCAACTCCAAATGCAACCCTGCTCGATAATTTTTCGACTTCCTGTCACGCTGTATGTCGGGTTCTTTCTTTCCTTTGATTCTGTTGCCGAAGTAAGGTAAGTTTTTGGGGTTGCTTAATTTTAAGTGTTGCTTTAGTGAAATAATATACGCGAATACAAGCCTAAAGTTGTCTTTATACTTGTAAATCGTTACGAGTGCTATATATGGCTCATTTTTATTGCAATACGAACATAATCGCATCGCACATGTCGCAGTGGCAAGCAATTGCCATTGCCTAAAAATTCGTGTTGAAGAAAAAAAGAAAAATACTGTGAAATTTAAATTTATACATTAAGGTAAGTGAAGTGCCGCGCAAATAGTTCTCTGTGGCTAGCTCATGAAGGCTTGAAAACAACACAGGGAACATATTTCGCCATTTGGAATTGTATATGAAATTAATGTGTTCATGTATTTCAGAACTGGTCTTCAGAACTAAATAACTAATCATGCCGCAGAATGAGTATATGGAGCGGCATCGCAAGCTGTATGGCCGGCGACTGGATTATGAAGAGCGTAAGCGCAAGAAGGAAGCGCGTCTGCCCAAGGACAGAGCACGCAAGGCTCGCAAGTTGCGCGGTATCAAGGCCAAGCTCTTTAACAAGGAGCGACGCAACGAAAAGATTCAGATCAAGAAGAAGATCCAAGCGCACGAGGAGAAGAAGGTGAAGAAGCAGGAGGAGAAGGTGGAGGATGGAGCCCTGCCGCATTACCTGCTCGACCGTGGCATCCAATCCAGCGCCAAGGTCCTCTCCAATATGATCAAGCAGAAGAGGAAGGAGAAGGCCGGAAAATGGGACGTTCCCATTCCCAAAGTTCGCGCTCAATCGGATGCTGAAGTCTTTAAGGTGCTGAAGACTGGCAAGACAAAGCGGAAGGCATGGAAGCGCATGGTCACCAAAGTAACCTTCGTGGGAGAGAACTTTACCCGCAAGCCGCCCAAGTTTGAGCGCTTCATCCGCCCCATGGGTCTGCGCATGAAGAAGGCCCATGTGACGCATCCGGAACTGAAGGCCACCTTCAATCTGCCAATCATTGGTGTGAAGAAGAATCCCAGCTCTCCCATGTTTACATCGCTGGGAGTGATCACTAAGGGCACAGTTATCGAGGTCAACATCTCCGAGCTTGGATTGGTGACTCAAACGGGAAAAGTGGTCTGGGGCAAGTATGCTCAGGTCACGAATAACCCAGAAAATGATGGCGTTATCAATGCAGTGTTGCTTGTATAAACCGTCAATATTCCTGCTCCCTACTTTAAGATGCTTGGTTTAATAAACAAATACAAAATATTAACTAACTCATTGTTTTATTGGCTTGTTTGTACTGGGCTGACTCTTAACTCTCTTTTTACACCATTTATACCTTAATATTCCTTCTTTTTCTTGCAGTTTTGGTGACTGGAACACAAGATGCAGATCTTCGTGAAGACCCTCACGGGCAAGACCATCACTCTTGAGGTCGAACCGTCGGACACTATCGAAAATGTCAAAGCCAAGATTCAGGACAAAGAAGGAATTCCTCCAGATCAGCAGCGTCTGATCTTTGCTGGCAAGCAGCTGGAAGATGGCCGCACCCTCTCTGACTATAACATTCAGAAGGAGTCTACCTTGCACTTGGTGCTCCGCCTTCGTGGTGGCGCCAAGAAGCGCAAGAAGAAGAACTACTCCACCCCCAAGAAGATCAAGCACAAGAGGAAGAAGGTCAAGCTAGCTGTCCTGAAATACTACAAGGTACACACACACCACGAATCCGTCATCTGATCTGTTCTTGGAATTCTTGAGTCTTGGTCTTGCGCTCTTTGACTTGAGATTTGGATATTTCAGAGTGACTTAACCAGAGCCCAATAATTTACTATTTTTGCGTATGTTTTCACAATCTTATGCTTTGTATCCTCACAGGTTGACGAGAACGGCAAGATCCACCGTCTGCGTCGCGAGTGCCCCGGTGAGAACTGCGGCGCTGGCGTCTTCATGGCTGCCCACGAAGATCGTCATTACTGCGGCAAGTGCAACTTGACCTTTGTGTTCAGCAAGCCAGAGGAAAAGTAAATTTGTACGTTTCCAGTAAAACCAATAAAGCTGGTAATTGAATAAATTATTCAATAACAGAATTTCCATGTTTTTTTAATGTTTTAAAAGTATATAATGGGGTTTCTATTCAAATTTAAATGAAACTTTGGAGATAATTATTTTCATTGAATATTTTTATTGTGAAAATAGAATTTTGAAATACATTGGGTAAAAGCAAATGTGTTACTTGACCTGCAGGAAATGCATTTAATGATTTGATTGGTTGATTAACGACTTAAACGTTGACTGCATCAACGTTCAGGCTCTTGGACAAGAATGTCAAAATATCGGTGGCCTCCTCAATCCTCTTGGACGTGGGCTTGCCGGCGCCATGGCCCGCCTTCTGATAAACCCGGAGCAGAACGGGATTCTTTTGGAACTCCGAGTCGCGAACAGCTTCCTGGAGAGCAGCAATAAACTTGAGGGAATGCAAGGGACTGACGCGATCGTCGTGGTCAGCCGTAAGAATCAGGGTGGATGGGTATTCCTTATCAGCCCCCTTTGGCGTGTGTACATTATGCAGCGGCGAGAACTTGTAGAGATTCTCAAAGTGTTCCTTCTCCGACGGGTTACCGTAGTCCGAGCACCAAGCATGTCCAATAGTAAACTTGTGGAACCGCAACATGTCCATCACTCTGTTTTAAATAATAATTATTTATATATCAAAGGTGTAACCTATATAGACTCACCCGACTTGGGCAACAGCAGCTCCAAACAAATCAGGCCGCTGATTGATGCAGGAGCCCACGAGTAGTCCACCATTGGAGCCACCTTGAATGGCCAGGCGATCCTTGGTGGTGTACTTGTTGGCAATCAAATACTCGCCCGCCGTTTGGAAGTCATCGAAGACGTTCTGCTTATTGAGGAGGCGACCCCCATTGTGCCACTTTTCGCCATATTCGCCGCCGCCGCGCAGGTTGGGATAGGCGAGAACGCCATCAAAAGTGTCTATGAACATCAGGCTACAAGTAAATCAATTATAAATTAAAGAATTAACAAAAGATTGGCGCAACTCAACCCCGAGAGTCCAAAGGATGGCAGCATGCTGATGTTGAAACCTCCGTAGCCATAAAGTAGACATGGTCGCGGTTCGATTGTATCGCGTTTTTTGCGAATAATGAACATGGGCACCTTGGTGCCGTCCTTGCTGCTGTAAAAGATCTGTTCCACGGCATAGTCCTCCCGCCGGAAGCCCTCCAGATTGAGCTTTATTTCGCGGAACAGCGTCGGTGGCTGGTCAGGTGTCTTGAAGTCATAACGATAAATGGAGCCGGGATTCAAAAACGACGAAAAGTTGTAGAATATCTCAGAATATCGCTTCTCGCCGGATGTTCCCACAATAGTGCCAATATCCAAATCAAAAACGCGCACCAGACTGCCATCAGTTAGGGAATTGACTTGCAGAACGCTCTACAAAATGAGGAAATAATAGTTAATAACGTAATACAGAAAGGAAAGGTTACGCCTAACTAATTACCTTGACATCCCTAATGTAACAAACGAGTAACTTGTCGCCGTCCACGCACTTGACCCAGTCTAACACATCCGATTTATGCTCCTATTGGAAATAGAATCATAAATAATATAATAAAAAGGGGAAAGTCAAATTGTTAATGAAAAACTCACGGCTATTAGCGTTTCCCACTTGTCTTCTTGGTGATTCTCAAAGTCTATAACAATAACACGGTAATTTGGTGCATTTTTATTGGTACGGAAGTACACCTTGGAGCCTTCGTTGGTGATATACTGAAAACCGAGTGTTAAAAGCTTATAAACATGTTGCAATTAAACCCACTTACATCATAGTCCGCCTCGAATTTTTCAACAATTTTTGTAACACTCAGCTTCGAGTTGATTTCCTCGTCCGGCTTGAGGTTAGCGTAGAAAACAATGTTGTCTCGGCAATCTTTAACAATGGCCAAAATCAAATACTTTCCACAATCAGACACAGTAGATTGTCTGCAAAAATATGTAATATGAATAATAGTTCGTATTATGTGTTACTTACGAGACTTACATGCGCCATGAGGGCTCTTCGGGGAACTCCACCACAAGCGTATCCTTATCCTGACTCTCGCCAATGCGATGATAGTACAACTTTTGATTTTCGTTTTGCTTCGTCTCGGATCCATCAGTTTTGCCATCTTGATCGGGATATCTCTACACAAAAACAAATAAAACACAATTTAATAACGTTTTTGTCAGAGTTAAGGGTCACCTTACGCCATAGAAAAATCCCTTATTGTCTTTGGTCCACGAAATCTCGGAGAACTTGACCTTCTCCAGGACCTCGCCCAAGTCTTTGCCCGTCTCCGCATCTCGGATAAAAATCTTTATCCAATCAGAGCCACTCTCGCTGAGTCCATACGCCATGTACTTTCCATCGTCGGAGAACTCTTTTTGACTCAAGGCCACAGTACCATCGTCGGACAGGGTGTTCGGATCGAGAAACACTTTGCTTTCGCCGTCCAGCGATTTCTGCTGATACAAGACACTCTGATTTTGGAGGCCGGTGTTCTTGTAATAGTAATAATAGTCGCCATATCGCATGGGGGAGCCATATTTCGGGTAGTTCCACAGCTTGGTGAGCTTTGCATTGATTTTCTTCCACTGTTCACCACTTTCCAGGAACGGCTGGCTTATGTTGTTCTGGGCGTTGACAAACGCCTCCGTTTCCGCCGAGTCCGGATCCTCAAGCCAGCGATAGACGTCTTTGATTTCGGTGCCGTGGAAGTCCTCCGAAACTGTCTCATCTTTTCGTGCAACGGGATACTTAATCAGCTTCGTGGGTAAAGCCGCAAGTTTGTGGTCATCGGTGGTGCTTGACATGGCTCTAATACGGTTATCTTTGCATATGTATGAATTTCTCTTTTAATATATGTATGTGGAGCACATTCAGCCGGCCGGCACCTATAATTTTTAATTACTTACAGTTAAAAGGCAAATTTCGGTGAAGATGATGTCGGGGCAGTGCTTTTGGTACAATTATTTGGCAAAATCGGCGAACCAGCAATGGGCCTTGAAAAATGGTATGCATTTGCAAAATTATCAATGCAAAACGAAATCTTAATTTCGACTATCTCGATAAACAGCAAGGGTGTTCTTCTTTTAAGCAATTCTCACTGTAAAGCATTTTTATCGAACTGGGTCACAATAAATATTTAATGATTTTGGCACTGTAAGCTCTATACAAATTTTTCTGAAATAAATTTGAATTAGTAACAATGAACATTTAACTCTAAGGTTGTTCGATCCAGAAAAATTAGTCATTAAAATGTAAATTTTTCTTATTTCCTATTTCGAAAATATTTTTTGTCTTGATATTAAAAACCTAATATGCTTCACAATGTATATAAAAACTTAAAAATATAATAACAATCAATTTATGTATTAAAAAATAAATAAATAAATATGTAAAAATAACCTTCATGAATACCCTTAATCTGTTAAAACTGTAATCGAAGGTGACAACTGTTGATCACAGTTATCGAAATGAAACAACAACTAAAACAAAATTATTGGTGAACCAATGAATTAAATTGGAAAAAAACACTGTTTTTATTTGTTTTTAATTTTTAAGAAGCGAGGAGACACGTTATTTGTTTGGTATGTAGCACTACAACTATTTTTCTTTCATCATTTCTACCTCGAAATGGGCCATTTTCAGTATTTAATTTCCATATGTATTTTTCCCCTTGATACATATGTACGTTTGCATACATAAACAAACATTGTGTAGAAAAGGCATGTAAGATGTATTTACAATAAGTATATGTAACTTAACTGACTGGCATTTTCAGCTAATTGCATTGATACTATTTGTAATATAATTAAATGAAACACCTGCTTATGTCATTTGTATGTGATGTATGTATGTTTCTGTGGGTGTATGTGTATCCTATTTGTTTTGCTGAGACGCTTTAAAAACTAGTTTTTCTTTCCGCAAAGAAGCTTATCTCATATTTTATTTATAATATGTTTATAACATAAAATAATTTAAGGCTGTATTTTGTCTTTTGTTAATGCATTTTAATTCCTACAAGTTTCCGTTTTACGTATTTATTAATAGATTAGCACCATGAATTCGGAAGAAGACCGTGTAAACTCGGACAGCGCAGTACGAGTTGCCGTAAGGTGAGCCAAAAACATTAAAATATATCTTAGAACGGTCTCAGCTAATCAATTTACTTAAATATTTCAGAATCCGACCTCAAATACCAAGGGAGGTAATCGATATGTGCCGGATTTGTACGACAGTAACGATTGGGGAGCCCCAGATATTCCTAGGATCAGACAAAGCCTTTACCTTTGACTATGTGTTTGATAGCAACTCCAATCAGGTTGGAATACTAATTTCCATCTCTCTCTTGAGTCATATTATAATATCAATCTCCAAAAATAGTGTGATATATATGCAGAGTGCGTGGAGCGATTGGTGGAGAGCACACTACACGGCTATAATGCAACAGTGCTGGCCTATGGACAAACGGGTTCGGGAAAAACCTATACCATGGGAACTGGATTTGACCTCGAGTCGGAACTACCCGAAGCGTCCGTTTCACTCGGCATTATTCCACGCGCTGTCCGTCACATCTTCAGTGGCATCGAAAGGCTAGAATCGTCGTGCAGTTCGGAACTAACGGGAGAAGCTGGTAGCAGTCCGCCGCACTTCAGTCTGGCGGTTCAATATATCGAGCTGTACAATGAGGATGTATTCGATCTACTGGATCCATTTAATAAGAATTCCAACTTTAAGATACACGAGGATGCCACCGGGCAGATAACTATCTCGGGAGCGTCGATCAAACCCATTTCACAGCCACAAGATGCCTTAAAGTAAGTTTTTTTTAAAGACATTTTATAAAAATGATTATTATTTTTTGTAACGATTACAGATATCTCCAGCAAGGAGCTTTGGCCCGCACCACGGCCTCTACAAAGATGAATGATCAGTCGTCGCGTTCCCATGCCCTGTTTACGATCTTTGTGCGTAGACAGCGTGTGCTTTCCTCAGTCATAAATCCGGCGGAGGATAACGATTTGGAAACTCTCACCTCAAAGTTCCATTTCGTTGATCTTGCGGGCTCCGAGCGACTCAAGAGGACCCAGGCCACGGGCGACAGGGCACGGGAGGGCATATCCATCAACTGTGGTCTGCTGGCCCTGGGCAATTGTATTTCCGCTCTAGGGGACAAGTCCAAGCGAGCCTTGCACGTGCCATATCGAGACTCGAAGCTGACACGCCTGCTGCAAGACTCTTTGGGCGGAAATAGTAAGACTCTGATGATAGCTTGTGTTTCGCCCAGTGATCGTGACTTTATGGAGACATTAAACACCTTAAAGTATGCCAACCGAGCGCGAAATATTAAGAACAAGGTTAAAATCAATCAGGATCAGAGTTCCCGAACTATTTCCCAGCTGCGCAGAGAAATCGCCACGCTGCAGATGGAGTTATTGGAATATAAGCAGGCAAGCCTTGTCCTACACTGCTATTAATTCTTCAAATTAAACAAGTACATTAATTACAGGGCAAACTTGTATTGGATTGCGAGGGAAACACAACTATATCGGATACATTCAATGAGAATACCATGCTCCTCTCGGATAACAAGCGCCTGCAGCAGCGGCTGAAGGCAATGCAGGAAACCATCAATCGTTTGACGGAACGCAATGCCCGATTGCAGCTGGAAATCGATTCCAAAAAGTGGTCCAGTAATGATAATTCCGATGTGGAAACCACGGAACTGATGGGAAAATATGTGTTGGAAATTGAGCAGCTTCAGGCTAGACTAATGGAGTCTGAGGAAATGCAACGTCAAATGGTGCCCAGAAGCCTCAAGCCGCCTGTTTTTGATGGTTTGTATCAACTAAAAGATCTCAAATAATATCTGAATTTATTTGTTGCATATTCCAAAATCTACAGGAGATATCATAAGCAAAGCCAAACGGGGCTTGGAACGGGAAAGAGAGCTCTTGATGTCGCGTTCCTTGCCAGGAAATCAACAACAAAACATCGGATTGGATGAAGCGGAAGCTTGTAGTAGCGATTCGGAAGGTAAACATATTGAATTGCCTACCAATTAGCTAATTATTTACCTTAATTAATGCCTATACTCAGATGAGCGAACAGCCAGAGACATGAGGGAGATTGATTATGACATTGAGACCAAATCGAAATTAATCGAACAGTTGGAGCTGAGCGAGGAGAGATTAAAGTGTATGCAATTGCAATACGAAGAACAATTGACGATGCTGAAATACAAAATTGCGAATACGGAAAAGGAACGCGACGAAATGTTGACAAATATGAGTATGTATTTACCATTTCATGGTTTCTTTAAAATATAAATTATATTAACTCTTTTGCAGGTGCCTCTGTTTCAGTCCCATCAAAGGACAGTTTGAAAAGAGTAAAGTTGGATTATGAAGGCCGGATTTCCCAAATGCAATACGAGTTGAAAAGGCTACAGAAGACGCAGCGGGAACACCAGCTGCAACAGAGACAGCTCAAGTCTAACGTAGTGCGGATGAACACGTTACGCAGCGAGGTGGCTGAATTGAAGTTTGCAAAAGTGAGTAAAATAATGTATTTATGTGAGTAAACGAAAAACGCAGAAGAAAATTTGTAGGCTGGGTTAACTCGAGTTATTAGAATTAAATGGAGTTTTCCTTACACATTTACAATTATATTATATAATAATATAATTCATAATTCTAGGTAAAATTAATGAAAAAAATGTCGGCACAAACAAGTCGTCACAAACAGGAAGACAGCCGAAAGACAAAAGAAATCGCTCAATTATTGAAGGAACAGCGTCGCCAGCAAAACGCCTTTACATCGCTGGAAGCCAAGGTCAATGCCAAGGATCAAATTCTGAAGCGAAAAACTGAAGAGGTTATAGCTCTGCGCAAAAGTCAACGTGGTAAGCCCGGACAGAGAGCGCTTAAAGTATTTTCGAAAACTGCCGCCCTTGACGGATTAACGTCTCGTTCGGCGCGCCATCATTGGGAGAATCTGTATCGCGCCATATCGCATGAAGCTCGAAACAGGCAAATGATCATGCAGTGGGAAAGGGAGCTCAATCGTTTAGTCACTGAGCGAGACAATTTTTGTCATGAGCTCAGGTTATTGGAGCTGAGCAAGGGCGGAGCCGATGATGATCTCAACGAAAGGGAGAATTTGAAAATCAACATTTCCTACCTTGAACAGAATATTGAGCATGTGCAGAAGGCTATAATGGAAGTGGAAGACACTAAGGACACTGGCCCGAGTGAGACGAATAAGATTCAGAGTCTGTTGGATACAATAACGACCCTGCCCGAGGCTGTGTACATTTTGGAGAAGCTTGCCGACAATTCCATCGCAATGACGTGCAATTTGGCAATAGCGCAATCTCATTTGCAGGAGCACCAATCGCTCCTGAATGAAGCCCAACAGGAGAGTAGCATCCAACAGCAAATAATACAACATTTCCTAGCTCAGAACAGCAATGTGCATATATCTGAGATATTCGACTCGTTAAGTCTCAAAAGCAGTAATCTTTTAAATACTGCGAATCCGAGCTCTCAAAAGTCATTAGTTAGTAATGCAACCTACGACATACCGCAAGATGACAAGCTATCAGACTCTTCGAATGTGGAACTGCGCAGGACGTCGAGTAGAAGCCCTTCGCCATTTGGAAACACAGACGCGTAAGATTAAACATAAGTTTAGGATTAAGGATTTTATTTTTAAATAACCAGGAACATTTGTTTTATTTTTTATTTATTATTAAAGAAAGGGCAAATTATCATTTATAAATCATACCTTTACATCTGATCGAATAAGGAGTGTTTTTAACAATATTTAAATTACGCAAATAATTTGATATTTGACTTTGTTCCTTCAGTTATTTTCTTTCACCTGTTTACATTATTTTTTACAAATTTTCTTTCTAATCTTAACAGGTCCGATAAGAGCCCCAAAGTTCGCAGACGTACTGCCAAAAGGCAAGATCTTCTATTTGGTGACACAGAATTTCCAGATCTGGTAAAATCATAAAATTTATTATTATTCTCATTACCATTTTAAGAACACAATGATTTAACTCAGCAGGCTAATAATAAAATGACGTGATGCGAAGATGTCATAGAAGAGAAGCGCGCATGGAATTGAAGTCAAACAAAAATCGAACAAATAATCTTTAAGACGGGCTGCTATTATGAAAGGTAAAAAGACTTGATAAACGGTACTCTTTGTGTAAAGAGTCTGACTTGATTTAATCAAGTATAATCAAAATTAACACTTAATAAAGGATAAAGGATAAACTTCGATCCTCAGAAGTTCATTTGTACATTTATATGAGCCTTCCCAGCCATTAATAAAAATAGGAAATTTGTACAATAATATCATTAATAAATTATTATAATGTGCCTATTTGTAAATAAACAGAATAATAAAAATAACGTATTTTTAATAATCAATTAAATCAATTGGTTTTCTTAAAAGGAATTAATATTATGTGTAAACAAACGGACCAATACAAATAGGGTGTTTTTTTAATTATTAATTAAATCGAAAATTTAAATTAGAATTAATTTTCATACTTCCCAAAAACACAAACGAACTGTGAATCTGGTATATTTAAAATGCATTTAGTTGAGGCTCTATATTTTACGTGATTGTGCCGCTATCTTGGCATTAATCGATTTATCGCTTTTGACCGGCATTTCTGGACCACTTGGCTTGCGTTTATGAATACTTTGCAAATTATTTTATATTCATAAACTGTAAGCAATGAGCGAAACAAATGGATCCGCTGTGCGCATGCCTTGGTAAATTCATAAACCTATGGTTTATACATTATTTAACAAAAATGCTTTCCTTTCTCAAGGGTGGAGAAATATCGTCCCAGTGGCTTAGAAGACCTAATATCGCATGAGGAAATCATATCAACAAGTATGTTTGCCTTACAAATAAGAGCACATTAATTAATTACTATGTTAATATTGCAGTTACTCGTTTTATTAGCCGCAAGCAGCTGCCGCATTTGCTTTTCTATGGACCTCCTGGCACGGGAAAGACGAGCACCATCTTGGCGTGCGCTCGTCAGCTCTACACACCGCAGCAGTTCAAATCGATGGTCCTGGAGCTCAATGCCTCGGATGACAGAGGAATTGGCATTGTTCGCGGCCAAATCCTGAACTTTGCCTCCACTCGCACCATTTTCTGTGACACCTATAAGCTGATCATTTTGGACGAGGCCGATGCGATGACCAACGATGCCCAGAATGCGTTGCGTCGCATCATCGAGAAGTATACGGAGAACGTACGCTTCTGCGTTATTTGCAATTATTTGAGCAAAATTATACCGGCCCTGCAGTCGCGTTGCACACGTTTCCGCTTCGCCCCGCTCTCTCCGGAGCAGATGATGCCGCGACTTGAAAAGATCATTGAGACGGAAGCGTGAGTTCTATCGGAATTCAATGTTTTATCCTTATATTGTACCCGAATTCCTTTTAGTATTCAAGTAACTGAGGATGGAAAGCGGGCCTTGCTTACTCTGGCCAAGGGCGACATGCGAAAGGTTCTAAATGTTTTACAGAGCACTACGATGGCATTTGACAAGGTTACCGAGGACAATGTCTACATGTGCGTGGGCTATCCGTCTAAGCAGGATGTCGAACGGATTTTAAAGGCCTTGCTTGCTGGAGCCAGCCTTGAGCAATCTTATCAAGGTACAAGAAGGAGGTAGTTTTCAATTAATTATGTTTTTAATATTGTATTTATGTGCAGCAATCGAAGATGCTAAGCACACTAGAGGACTTGCATTAGAAGATGTAATTACAGAGTTGCATTTAATTGTTATGAGGCGTAAGTAGTGTCGAAAATAATAATTACACAATTAATACAAATACATATATTACTTTTCACAGTTGAGCTGCCCATGTCAACAATGAACACTCTTATAATCAAGCTGGCCCAAATCGAGGAACGCCTGGCGAAAGGATGCACAGAATCGGTCCAAACAGCAGCATTATTGGCCGCTTTTACCATTTGTCGGGATATGGTGGCCATGGAGAAGTAAGGGTAACCATCCTAATATTATAAAATATTATTAAGTATCGTTAATGTTAAGAATTGTTAAAAGAAATCCGGTTGATTAGGATGGGCGAGAAGAAAAAGAAATATAATTTTATTCCCAATGCATACAACATTTATTTATTTATCTAAGCAATGATTAGCTATTAGTATACACTTTTATAAACAAATAATTAAGTTTCCTGTTTTTTCTGGTTTTTAAATGAAGGTTTGCAAGTACATTAAAAAATACTATAATTTTTTACTAAATAACAGTTGTATAATTAAAAAACAATTTTATTAATTACGTAGCTAGTCTACTTTAATTAAATAACATTTTTGTTTAAGCTTTTAAAGTTTAGCATTTCAAAATAATTTCAACAACTGCCTTTGGCTATCCCATTCCATCGTTCCGTAACAAACAGGAGCTTCGTGGCGCCGCTATCTTAGCTAGCTTTAGAAATAACAGCGAATATGTATTTGTGTTAAACAAAATATCGCAGTATCGTTAATTGATTGTGAATCACTGATACTGCTTCACATCGGCCCAGGAATTAAACAATTGTTGTTTTTTTATTGTTACTTCAAAACACTTTGAGTACACTTAGTTGGGCGCAGCAGGCTATAGGTCCCACCCAAAAAAAAAAAAATAAAAAACAATGGCTGCCGAAATAAAACCAGCTCAGCGGACCAGCGATCGCTTCAACACATCCAAAAAGCCCGAATTGCTGAGTAAGCTGGAGGGCAGTAGCGACGATGTGAACGCCGCTATCCTAATACCCGGCGAAAACGGCGTAATAAGTGTTTCCGATGACAAGTGCGTATTATCTGCATTCTCTCTTTTTCACAATGCATAAACATAATTATTATATAGAACTGTGCGCGTTTGGTTAAAACGCGACTCTGGCCAGTACTGGCCTAGCATTTGCCAGTATATGCCCTCCGGCTGCACTGCTATCGAGTATGTGCCGGAGTCGCGTCACCTGTATATTGGGCAGGAGAATGGCACAGTGACCCAGTATACGCTCTCTGAAGACTGCAATCGTCTGTCGTTCTTGCGCGACTACTTGTCCCATCAGGCCCGAGTCGTGGCCGTGGTCTTCTCCAGAACCCACAAGTGGATATTATCGGCGGGCAAAGATAAGCAGTTCGCCTACCATTGTACTGAAACCGGAAAACGGGTGGGCGGATACAACTTTGAGACAGCATGCACATCGCTCCAGTAAGTTAGATAAAGCGACAGTTGGTGTGGCTAAAGCATCCTCTAATAATTTAATTCCCATCTGCATTTCAGGTTCGATGCCCTAGCCAAATATGCCTTTATTGGCGATCATGCGGGTCAAATAACTATGCTGCGTTGTGAGGTCCAAGGAGTACAGCTGATTACCACTTTTAAGGGACACACAGGTACGCCTAGAATCAAGAATAATAATATTTAAATAATAATCATATTGTATATTTCAGCGGAAATCCGCTGCTTGCGATGGGTTGAAGGCCCTCAGTTGCTGTTTAGCGGTGCTTGCGATCAGTCTGTCATTGTTTGGGATGTTGGCGGCAAGCGAGGCACCATTTACGAGCTGCAGGGACATAGGTAGATTCATTTTCCAATGCTATTTGCAATTTCTAATGTCTCTACTTACTCAGCAACAAGGTCTCTGCTCTGGCGTACGCCAATCAAACCCAACAGCTAATAAGCTGCGGCGAGGATTCAGTTGTTGTCTTTTGGGAAATGAACGCCATGCGAAAAGAAGTTCCTGAGTGGGTGGAGTCCAACAACTGTCAGCTGTGTTCCAGGCCATTCTTCTGGAACTTCCGTTCCATGATGGACCAGAAGCAGCTGGGTAAGTGCAGACGATCCTCCTCCGGCGCTTCCCCAGTACATATGTACAACATTTGTATCATTTACAGGAATCCGGCAGCATCATTGTCGCCATTGCGGCAAAGCCGTCTGCGACAACTGTTCGACCAATCGTATTAACATACCCATCATGGGCTTTGAGTTCGACGTTCGTTGCTGTGATCCGTGCTACAAACAACTGCAGACCGTCGAGCGCCCCTCGCTGGCATCGTTTAACGACGCCAAACACTCCATTGTCTACATGGACCTCGACGAGGACCGCAAGCGCCTGCTGACTGTGGGTCAGGACAGGCTCATCAAGATCTGGGATCTGTCCAACATCTGGGCATAATACACGCAATAAATCCAATTCGACGTACCAAAGGTATAATCATCCACGATGCGGAGCAGAGTGTGTGGCTGGAAATGACTAAAAAGTTCTGACCCAGACTAGGTTCTCATGAATACATATACTTAATGTAAAGCAATATCCATTGTGTGTACGTAAATGCTTGCATTAAACACTGAAAGAAATCCATCGAAAGGAATGTGTTTCTATTGTGAGTTGTTTTCTTTTTTTATTAACCAAAAATGTTTCCTTTCAATATCCACCCCTTCCCGGTGGCGGTGCACCCCGAATCATGCTCGGCGGCGGACCACGCATAGGTGGAGGAGCGCCGCGTCCCATGCTACCCGGCATTGCGGGCATACCACCAGGAATCATTCCCGGCGGCGGAGCTCCCATCATCGGAGCGCGGGGCAATCCTCGGCCCATTGGCGCCATGTGCTGCTGGGCGGGACCACCCACGCCTCTAACTGGTCCCTGCAGGCCCGCTGGCACAGCGGACATATTAATCGGCACACCGCGACCGGCCACACGACCCAATCCTGGTCCTGGAGCGGCTCCGGGGATGGGAACACGGGGCAGACCCTCCTCTGGCGGCGGCGGTCCCTCGACGGTGAGGGAAACAATGTTTTCGCCGCGCAGCAGTACAAAGCCCAGCACTCGCTTCTCTTCCCGCTCGGGCACTTTCGAGTTCTTTGAGCGAATCTTGCGGAACTCCTCGCAGTCGCCCAAAATCAGATTCATGTGCTTGTCGAAGGCCTTGAAGGTGCCGATAAATGTGCGCGAGTCCTGGAGCACGATTCGCACCCGGTAATTCAGGTGCTGAATCATTTTATTGTTCTTGCCGATGGTCTAAAATAGGGAAGGTTTGATTAGTTTGCGAAATACAGAATTGCCGGCCGGGGGCTTGAGAATGCATATTTGAACAGACCGGCACCTGTTTTATGCTCAATCTTTGCATGTGTGGCAAAAGCAACGATTTTACTTACCATTTTGTACACTTTCTGTAATAATACAGCGAAAGATAAATAGAATTACAGATGCCGAAAAAACACGGCGTTTTCAGAATGGCGATGTTGACAGTGTGACCGAAGCTGGTCAGGTTTTAGGGATTTTACCCTATCGAGATATTTTAGTGTGAAAGCCAAATTTCATCTGGCAACACTGCACTGTCTCTCTCGGGTCTACGGCCACGTCGGCTCTCTCATTTATGCTGACATTTCCACTCAGAAGTTTTTTTGTGAAGCGGCAAAGCCAGAAAGTTTTACTCGTTGGCAAATTGGACAATTAAATTGGTAACGTATGCAGGCGCCGAGGAACCGCCATTGAACGGGGCCGTCGCTTTACGGCCATTATTGTTATCGTTCGCCCTCGCCACATCTTTTTCCAGGGGTGCGTTCGTTCTAACTCGTCGAGAGGCAGCAGCAGCGGTTGGCAGCGCAGGAAAAACACCAAACAACACATACGACAGCAAGTCGACGACGTGCAGAATGAACATCTTTCGGTTCGCTGGGGACTTGTCCCATGTCTTCGCCATTATTATATTGCTGCTGAAGATCTGGAAGACGCGCTCGTGCGCCGGCATATCCGGCAAGTCGCAGATTCTGTTCGCGGTGGTCTACCTGACCCGCTATCTCGATCTCTTCACCACCTACGTGAGCCTGTACAACTCGGTGATGAAGGTGCTCTTCCTGGCCACGTCCGGTGCCACGGTCTACCTGATGTACGTCAAGTTTAAGGCCACCTACGACCACAACCACGACTCGTTCCGTATTGAATTCCTGCTGGTGCCGTGCGCCCTCCTCTCGCTGGTGATCAATCACGAGTTTACGGTCATGGAGGTGTTATGGACCTTCTCCATCTATCTGGAATCGGTGGCCATTCTGCCGCAGCTGTTCTTGGTGAGCAAAACCGGAGAGGCCGAGTCCATCACCAGCCACTACCTCTTCGCCCTGGGATCCTACCGTGCGCTCTACTTGCTCAACTGGGTCTACCGGTACATGGTGGAGTCGCACTACGACCTCATCGCGATCTTTGCCGGAATCGTTCAGACCATTCTTTACTGCGATTTCTTCTACTTGTACATTACCAAAGTTCTTAAGGGCAAGAAGCTGCAGCTGCCGGCATAAGTGCATTATACATAATCCACATCATCAGTCCGAAGCATTAACAAACAAGTGAATATGGATATGAAACGAGAGGCGAGAGCAGCAGCCCGGCCGTTTGACAAAGCGTATTTAGTTCATATTAAACAGAAGATAAATCGAGCTCGATAGGCTCTCCCTAAGTTGTAATTATTTTATGAGAAATAAACCGAAACTCGGAAGTCAAAACTGTCTTGCAATACACCAACATACATTGGAAATGTAACAATATCCGTTTTCCGACGCACTCGCGAATTTTGAATCCCAGAATAAGGCAATCCCGGACGCAATACGTTATATATTACAACTTATTTACCTTTTTTTTAGTGTAGCCGGGAATTTCATCCAAAAAACAATATCACACAAGAGGTCATAGATATTCTTGTTTAATTTAGACTTTAAATAATATCTATTAAATAGCTTCTAAGCTGACTGTATCCTAATAAAAATCCGAGTAAGCTTAAGTCGATGATAACACACATTCTTGATCAGTATCAACCAGCAAAACTATATTCAATTGTCACAACTTTACATGAATTTTAAAATAATGTATTACATTTTTTGCCACACCCTTTTCCTATAAAAACGAAATAAACAATAAATTCCATTGAAGGACGATCATTTACCGTAACATAAAAAATTAAAACCTTATGTGGCATAAACAATACTTTTAAAACCTTAAACCTATTACATAATAATGATAATCGTAGTGAAATAAATAAAAATATTTTCTTTTATTTATTATAACTGAGATAGACTTAAACATACGGAGAAGAGACTTTCTCAATCGTTCTTTGGTTTTTCTAGCACTAAATAAAGCATTTTGAGAAAACTAAATTTGTAGTTTGATTTTATTAAAATTTAATATTTATATTTTTTTAAGTGTTTAAAATTTAAATGTTATAAGCTTATAACGATACAAGATAAGGGTTTTTTTTGTTCAGATGTTTGTAGAACAAATATAAACAAATACATTTGATGACGTTGTTTTATTTTATAACGCCAGATACGAAATCTTTTTAAATATTACTTACAACATAAATTTAAAAAAATATAAACGGTCTATCGGTTTATCGATATGTTCTAGCACACGTTCTGGCCACACTATTATGCAAATTCTGCATTAAAATCAAAACAAAATGGGAAAAGGCGGCTTATTAAACCTGTTAATGCGCCAAAGACCCACTGTCAGGACATTCTTTCAGTTTGGCAAGGCCAAGGGGTACGGGGCGGTCTATATCCTTCATGCTTAATAGAGAAAGGTTACTGAATTAAGTGTACTTGCAGAGATACCGGCAAATATGTGCCAATTGTGACACCCGGCAAGGTTTCCCCCGAGCGTAGCGTGCCCGAGGACATCAACAAGCCGCCGTACTATTTCAAGGCCATGCCACCGGGAAATACGCTTGGTAAACCGGAAATAAAGAATGCGGATCAGATCGAAGCCATGCGCCGCAGCGGCAAACTGGCGGCACAGGTGTTACGTGAATGCGGCAAACTGGCAACCGTGGGCAAGACCACCGATGAGATCGATGCCTTCGCCCACGAACTGATTATAGCAGCCAGGGCCTATCCCTCCCCGCTGAGATATGCTGGCTTCCCCAAGTCGATCTGCACATCGATCAACAATGTGGCCTGCCACGGCATTCCGGATGACCGGCGACTGGCCAACGGCGATATTATCAATATCGATGTAACAGTCTTCCTGAACGGCTGCCATGGCGACTGCTCGGAAACCTTTCTGGTGGGCGAGGTAGACGAGCAGGGTCGTCTTCTGGTGGAGGCCACCAAATCCTGCCTGGATCAGTGCATTTCACTGTGTGGTCCCGGCGTGGAATTCAATAAGATTGGACAATTTATAGACCGTTACTGCGCAGAGCAGGGACTCGAATCGGTGGCCGCCTTCATTGGCCATGGAATCGGCAGTTACTTCCACGGTCCGCCAGAAATATACCATTATCGTAAGATGACGGACAGGTTTTTTTTTTGCTTCCCTATACTTACACCATCCCCTAACTTGCAGACAACGAAGCTCGTGGGAAAATGCAGCCCGGCATGACTTTTACCATTGAGCCTATATTATCCTTGGGCGGATCGGAGGTTGAGGTGCTGGAAGACGGCTGGACAGCGGTTTGTCTGGACGGTGCCCGTAGCGCCCAGTTCGAGCACACCATTGTAGTTACTGAGGCGGGAACCGAGATACTCACAAGGGCTTAGGTCAATGGCATCTACGATTTATGTACAGGATGAATTTTTATTCTCGACATTGACTATGTTGTTTCTGTGATTCGCATAAAGTGTAAAAGTTTCTGTGTCCAGATACATGGAGCAGTCTTGTGCAGTTTTGTGCCATATATTATTCGTTGTTGGGGGTGGTGCTCTTCATGTGCCCTGTAAGAAGCTGCTCCCGCTCCATTTAGGTGCATATGGCGTTACTCTTCTGCACCGGCTTCTGTATGGGCAGGAACAGCTTGAACTCGGGCGGTAGCTCGTCCTCCGAGTACAGGCGATCGGAGAAGTATACCCGGCGAATGCGACAGTTGGCGTGTATCTGGACGCGAAGTGTTTCCACATAGTTTGTGCCATAAGCGCGACGTGTGAAGTCGGACAAATTAAACTGGATCTGGTTCCAACCCTCATCCAAACGCATGGGCATTGTGCAAATGAATGGCTTGACGCGAGTGGTCGACTGGTAGTTGCTGGCCCTGAATCTGCGCCGCACGTTCTTGTCATCGAGAACCTTTTACGAGGGAGGAGGAAAAGGAAATTACACTCTTTGGAAAGCAAAGCGGGCAACGTCCAAGCAACTTACCTGCACTTCAAACGTAAAGTATTTCTTCATGTTCTTGATGATCATCACCAGAAACGGCAGCTTGATGCCGAGCGTCTTCTTGGGATCGGCCGGGCATGTGATGAACGTGGTGCTGACATTGGTACCGACTATTTCGAGGACGAGACTCTGTATGTCGTTGTCGGTGATGCGCTTGATGTGTCCATTGCGCACCTTCTTGTCCCACAGCTGCAGCGGCTTAGAGCCAATACTGTACAGAATCGATAGGAATCCTGATTGGAAGGTATTTTTGAACATCTCGCGACTGCTGCAGTGTTCCACCAGCCGATATTACTCGCAGAATAAAAGCCTCTCTTGCCAATTTATATAGGGCCAGCTTAAAATGGCCAACCAAATTTTGCAAAGCCAGAACGTGTACAAGATACAAACATGAAGTACTAAATTTTCATGTCAATAAATTTGTTTAGCATGGCCTCCTGTTTGTTGCCATAACAATGGCCGGGCAGTGTTGGCAATTTCCAAAATGTTTGAAAACATTGTTCGTTTATGCGAGATTTGAAATTGCGAAAATGGTGGTAATAGTCTCGTGTGAGGAACAGTGGGAATGACACAGTTAAATGCGATTTAGAAAGTGACCTTTTTGTAATTACCCAGTTTAATAATTTGATTTACCAGCATTAAAGTAAACAATATTATAGGCTCCTTTATTAACCTTGTTAATGAAGTAAAATTGAGAAGAAAACGAACAATCTAAACGGAACATTGGAATATGACCAACATTATCGTTATCGCTATCGATGTGTTATTGAGCCAAGTGTCACCACCAGTTGAAGTATAAAAAAAAAGTAGACAGCTAAATAAAACAAATGGCTTCAACATCGAGGTAAAAACATTTCATCATTTTACGATGTCCACTCTTTTCGTAATGGCTTCCTTCCCGCAGACTCGACAACAACAAGGTGTGCTGCTATGCACACCCCGAATCTCCTTTGATCGAGGATTACAGGGCAGGCGACATGATTTGCTCGGAATGTGGTCTCGTTGTTGGCGACCGCGTAATTGATGTGGGATCAGAATGGCGAACCTTCAGCAATGAGAAGAGTGGCGTCGATCCCAGTCGTGTCGGTGGCCCAGAGAATCCTCTGCTCAGCGGTGGCGATCTATCCACCATCATTGGCCCGGGGACAGGGTCAGCTTCTTTTGATGCCTTCGGTGCACCCAAATATCAAAACAGACGTACAATGAGCAGCTCAGATCGCTCGCTGATATCTGCATTTAAGGAGATTTCCTCGATGGCCGATCGCATTAATTTGCCCAAAACAATTGTCGATCGGGCCAATAATTTGTTCAAACAGGTGAGTTGGCATTATGGGGAGAAGGGACCTTGATTTAATGTTGCTTATTTTGTAGGTCCATGACGGAAAGAACCTGAAGGGCCGATCCAACGATGCCAAAGCATCTGCTTGTCTGTATATAGCTTGTCGCCAGGAAGGAGTGCCTCGTACGTTTAAGGAAATCTGCGCTGTTAGCAAGATCAGCAAAAAGGAGATTGGCAGATGCTTTAAGTTGACGCTGAAGGCACTGGAAACTAGTGTGGATTTGATCACAACAGCAGACTTTATGTGTCGCTTTTGCGCCAATTTGGGTAAGTGCCACCAAATCTGTTCTTTGATACGTTAAATCCTTATATATAATTCGGAAATATAGACCTTCCGAACATGGTTCAACGCGCTGCCACGCACATCGCCAAGAAGGCCGTCGAAATGGATATTGTTCCGGGACGTTCCCCAATTTCCGTGGCTGCCGCTGCCATTTATATGGCCTCACAGGCATCGGAGCATAAGAGAAGTCAGAAGGAGATCGGTGATATAGCCGGTGTGGCTGATGTCACCATCAGACAGTCCTACAAACTAATGTATCCTCATGCCGCCAAGTTATTCCCCGAAGACTTCAAGTTCACCACACCAATCGATCAGCTGCCGCAAATGTGAACATTTGGTTCGTTCGCGATGCTCATTACTAACGCTAACGTTAAGGGGGTAAAAAGAAGCAGAACCGTTCTTAATTTAATCACAAAAAATTACGATTTTATTAAATAAAAAGTTAGCATAACGATAAATAATCACGAGACCAAGCTGAACATAACGCTACTGCTGAGTTGAACCCATAAAGTTTTTCGAAATTTATTTCCATATACATATATCATAATAGCTCGCGTCTTTATCTGTATATATCTTGGTGTAGGCGTTTCGAATATAAGTAAGCTACTAATCCAGAAATAATAATTGCAAACTACGTTTATACGCTTGATATTTGCAAACTTAAATCTGTTTACATAGAACTTTCAGTTTATACATAGGCATTAATTATGTGATAGAAATATAATTAAAATAAAAAGGACTCTACCATAACTTTCAACTCGTTCATTTGCAAATATTTAGCGCGCTAAACGTAGTTAAGAGAACTAAGCAGGAGACAAAGCAAACAGTTTGAAAGCAAATTATATGCGTGTGCTAATTAGTAAATGACGAATTATCAGTCGCCAACAACAATAGTTATTGCTGAGTTTAAACAGTGTAGATTTATGTAGATAACTAGTCAATAGACAGCGAGCACTTCTCGTCATCGCTATGGCCCACACACTCCAACGCCGGCCGATGCTCGGAGTCCCACATTCCGGGGCCGCACCGCTTGCACAGGCCACTCAAAGTGCACGGTATCTTTGGCAACTGTCGGTATTGGTGGAGCAGACCGCGCGCCTTGCGCAGGATCAGCTGCCCATCCATGTACATGGCCAGTGAGCTAAAGTGCAGCAGCATCTCGTCCGGCCGCAAATTCTGGGCTATCACATCATCGGCGTAGACGGCAATGATCGCCAGGCAGAGGAACAGGTGGAAGTAGTCGGTCAGGTAGTTTGACCAGCACGCCTCCCACATCCGAATGACGACGGCTTCGGTGAACTCGCGCTTGAAGCAGAGCAGGAGCCATCGATGGCAGAAAAGCAGCTCCATGGAGTCGTTGTGCTGTCCCAGATGTTCGTAGAAGCGCGGTAGCATCACCCTGATCAGCTCGCGCAAATAACTTAGGTTGTGGTCCACATCCCTGTCGGTAGGAGTGCACACAAAGAACGCTCGCTGCATCAGTCCCACGAAGCACCAAAAGGTCTCCGATTCGTTCTGCACCTCGCTTAACACTGGGGCTAAGAGATCACTCATTCCCTAAAAGAGAACATGGATTCAAAGATTGATATTTAAGTGGTTTTAATCAAAACTTTTAGGAAACCGTTTGGAAAATATTAAAAAATCTGCATGCTACCTACCTGAGAATAGGACATCCCAGTATTGTAGACAGCAAAGTTAAGCAGAATATTTTTCATGACCTCCGTGTTGGGGTTATCGTCGCCGCAGAAAAATGGATTCGTGCGATCTGTGCGCACCACATCCTTCTCAACCACACACTGCACCGTCTTCCAAAAATGAATCTGCAGTTCTGGGGACATGGAGTACAGACGCTTTCGCGTAATCTCCTCGTACTCCTGCCGCTTAATGTCCATCAATACAGCTCGATCCTCGAAGGTTGAGGAGAATGAATAACATTTCAAGAGGAAAGGCCACACCGTCTTCCGCAAGCTCTTCTCGAGACCGCCGAAGAATACACACTTTCGAAGCAGTAGATCGTCCTCTATCTGTCCCTTCTCGTTCAAAAGTGTCCCATAAAAGAAGTTGGTGGTTATCTTCTTGACATCGCCCTCATCCGGGTGCATCTCCGATTTCTTAACCTCCGGCCGACAGACCATGAAATGCCTGTACGGCAAATCGAACTTGTCCTGGCCCGTTTCCGATGTGATGTTGTGCAGAAAGCAGTGCCACTGATGCAGAACCTGCGCCAAGTGATCCAAGCCGCCGTAGTGGAAATGGAGTATTTTGTACTGGGATTCCCGAGAGGCAATCACCAGCTGACCGGATGTGCAGTTGTCGTCGTTGAAGAAGAGACGCAGCGAACGCATCTGGCTCAGGTCCACGGAAAAGTGGCGGCACTTAAGAGCGGATCTCTGGCGATCAGCCGGTGTGGAGTTGCCGCTGTCCGGAAACTCCAAGTTATGCTGAAAGGCCAACAGCTCCGGTGTGGTCCACTTGGGATTCTCGGATGCCGGTCCCTCCCCAACGCCATTTGGATTCGTTCCACTGGCACAATCGCCGCAGCCATTTGCCTCTGTCGTCCGGATGGTTATGCAGTTGAACGACTGCGATATATTACTGTTTTCGATCTGAGGATTCGAAATCGTTATGTTCACCGATGTGATGGGGTTATTCTTCAGCAGCGCCGTCAAGTCGTCTATGGATGCGGCCTGACCTCCGAGCAAGGGCTGCAGCTCATTCTTCAGCTCCTGCATCTCCGCCGCGTTATCATCTTCCTCTCGGATGTCTCGCTCCTGGATCGTCTGAGGTATGGTCACGTTACAATATCCGTTTCGGGATTCCGGCGACGACTTGGTTCGCGAATTGCACTGACCCCTGCAGTCCTCGGTGCTCAGGTTTGTGTATTTACATAGCGAAGAGTTGGGTATCCAGGTGAGGAGCAGAGTTGGCCTCTTCGCACTATTATACTGATCCACAAAGGTCTTTGTGGTGCACGTCAAGTATCCCGGGTTGTGCAATATATCGGACTCATCCCGCGCTATGGTCGGTGGATGAATGCAAACGTTATTCTTGCAGAAGAGTATTTCGTTGTCTTCGTAAGAGATATCGATTTTTTTGTCCAACCTTTCGTCACCTAGTATATAGCTAGATGCCTTCTTGATAATACTTCCAATGGGCATTTTGAATGTTATATTCTTGAGCGGGTTTAGTGGTTTTGCAACGTGAAAACGGTTCCTTTTTTCGGATTAATATTCGTGTTTTCAGTCGGGTCTGGGAACGGGTACTGGTATTTCTGCTGTGGTTAGCTTTTGATTTTGTTGTTAAATCTGGTTTGGTAATGGCCGTTGGTTACCATTATATCTGGGTGTTATGTGTGCTGCATCGATGATACTATTTTATTTTTGATTCAACCAAACGATTAAGTTAATCTAAAAGGTAAATTTTGTCGTCAGCGAACTCAGAAAACAGGATGACATTGGAGGAAAAGAATTCGGTGGAGAACTTAGCGCAGGCGCACTTGCAGACTGGCTGTCTTTCGATATTTAAGCCACAAATATAATAAATATAATCTATTTATGTAGATGACTAGTTTTAAAAATTAAGTTTTTCTATATTATTAACAATAAGAAAAAAGAAAGGCTCAATAAATCTTTTACCCATGCTGGTCTTCTTAAAATTAATATATACATTCATGTTTACAAATTTATGAACTAAAGAAAATAATACTATAAATATATATACAAAAAATGTGTATATTTTTATATAAAATATTCTTATATTTAAATAATTAAACCTATTTCTATTAACGATATTTTTTGAAATTGGAACATTTTGGGACTGAAACGATTGGTACGATATATTTTCGCCTTACCATCCCTATGGTAAATAGAATCAATAAACGTGAAAATATTTACATTTCTTTGCCGATTTGTAGTAATTAAAAATATGGCAAGCAAGCGGAAACACACTTCAGTTGAGAAAAATGAATCTTATAAAAAACACACTTTGGACTCGGATGAGGAAGATTCCGACGACTACGAGCGGTAAGGATTATAAGCAACATTTGTTTTGACAATGTTAAACTTCTTATTTTTCACACAGGGAATATCTCAATGATAGCGATATTGAAGGCGGCGAGGAAGGAGTTGCCAAAGAGGTGGACGATGTTAAGGTGACGCCGTTTAATATGAAGGAGGAGTTGGAGGAAGGCCACTTCGACAAAGATGGCCACTACCATTGGAACAAGGAGACGGAGGCAAAGGACAACTGGCTGGACAACATCGACTGGGTTAAGGTAGGTACTTTGCAATGTCTTTGCCAAATATATGAAACCCTTTTTTGGTTAACAGATTGGCAAGCAAAAGAACGCCTTCGATCCCGCCAAAGAAGATCAGAATTCCAACTCCTCCGATGATGATGCACTCGTGCCGGCGGACAAGGCCTTTAACCTATCAATGAACCTAACGAAAATGCTAGAGTTTATGAAGGCAGGAGAAACTGTTAAGATGACCTTGCAAAGACTAGGAAGTCAACGTCCCGTCCTAACCACTCTTCAGCGAATTAAGCAGAAAAAGGCGGGTATTGTGGATACAAAGACGCAGGAAATCTCCCAACTTACTGAGCTGGCCAACGAGATTCTCTCGAAGACCGGCAACATGGATATCTACCAAGAGACCTTTGAAAACATCAAGTCCAAGCTAGCCGATCTGCCGGGTACCAGCAAGTCGAAACCAGCCGATGATATTGACATGTATGCAGATGATTTCGAAGCCAAGGAGTCCGAGCGATCAAAGGCCCCAACAGCAGCCGCCCCAGCATCTACCCCCCCGGAGCTGGCGTGGGAGTTTAAATGGTCGCAGAACGAGACTGAAGTACAGGGCCCCTTCACAACGGAGAAAATGCTGAAGTGGTCCAAAGAGAATTACTTTAAAAATGGAGTCTATGTGCGAAAATGTGGCGAAAACACAAACTTCTATTCCAGCAATCGGATAGATTTTGATTTATATTTGTAAATTTTAATTTGCAGTTTAAGAAAATATAAAATTATAACGATCAATATGACCGTATTTTTGTATACAAAACTAAAAATAAATTAAATAAATTCGTAATTTATTTAAATGGTTAAAATTCAAGTAACAAACAAGATACATATCGCCCTCTGATGCCGATAGCAAGTATCGATAGTCAGCCAGCTTTCGAGCTTTGGCAACCCTATGAAACACACATCGATTAACACGGTCGAAAATTGTTTTATGTTTAATTAAAGACAGCTCTGATAATGCAAGTTATATTTTGTGGTGTTGTGAGCCTCAAGTGAAATCCAGCACCCAAACCCCGTTTTCCAGACAGGACTTCGTCCTCTGTGGACGCCTAACCAATTGCCCAGCCGCTGAAAAAGAGCCAGATACCCAGTATTTCGTCAGGGTCTCAGTGCATCGAAGAAAAAAATAGAATTCTGGACCAGTTGCAACAATTGCCAGCATGACGACCAAGCACACATATTCTACCACTAACTTCTCGGACCAGCAACTGAAGGAGCAAGGCAACTGCCTGTTTGCAGCTCGGAAATATGAAGACGCAATAAACTGCTACTCAAAGGCCATCGTAAGTGTCGTGTATTAGTTGTAAATGTATATAATGTTTACATTGTCTGCAAACTCTATGCTCGCTATGTGCGATTATTTAGATAAAGAACCCCACAAATGCTACCTACTTCACCAACCGAGCCTTGTGCCACCTGAAACTGAAGCGTTGGGAGCTGTGCTGCCAGGACTGTCGGCGCGCCTTGGACATCGATGCAAACCTGTTGAAGGGGCACTTCTTCCTAGGTCAAGGACTCATGGAAATCGACAGTTTTGACGAGGCCATCAAGCACCTGCAACGCGGTTAGATAATAAGACATTAAAGTAATTTAAATACTAAATAAATCGGTTTAAATTGCAGCTTATGATCTGTCAAAAGAACAGAAACAAAACTTTGGCGACGACATTACATTGCAGTTGCGATTGGCACGCAAAAAGCGCTGGAATGTCTTGGAGGAGAAGCGGATACATCAGGAAATTGAACTGCAAAGTTATTTGAACAGGTAAAAATGCAGCTATTTATTTGGAAAATCTAAACATTACGATAAGGTGTTACTTTATTGTTACTCAAAAAGACGCACGGAATAATCAAACTCTCATGTTTACAGATTAATAAAAGCTGACATGGAAAATCGTTTGGCACAGTTAAAACTAAATGAAAGCGTGCATGAAGAGCAGCTTAAAGATAAACAACAAGAAATCGAGCAAGAATGTGTAAGTATTTAGTATTGAAGTACGTAAAGTAATGAAAATATTTCTTTGATTACATTAAAAGTAGTTGTAATTAACGCTTAATCCACAATATGAATTTTATATACTTTAGGACGACCACGTTCAGGAACTAAACAATATCTTTTCAAAAGTTGACGAACGTCGAAGGGTAAGTAGCAAAACTAGTCGTTGTGAAGGGAGTAACTTTAAAAAAATATATCTAACGAGTGGCTTGACATTAAGAGCACGATTACCCAAATAGATGAATTAAATAAAAAGCTTTCCATTTTTAGAAACGCGACGTTCCGGACTTTCTATGTGGCAAAATAAGCTTTGAGATATTAACGGATCCTGTGATAACTCCATCTGGAATTACCTACGAGCGTAAGGATATTGAAGAGCATTTACAGCGGGTTGGCCATTTTGATCCAGTTACGCGCGTCAAGCTCACCCAGGATCAATTAATACCAAATTTTTCAATGAAGGAAGTTGTTGACTCTTTTATCGCGGAGAACGAATGGTCCTTAGACTACTAAGTATGAAATGACGACATGAAAATAGAAGCCCTATCATTGTAATTGATTTAGCTGTTAGAACCCAGTTCCCATTGTCTAAAAACATAATAATTAGTGATAATAAAAGCGGATATGCCACTGGTTGATTGTACTTGTTTTGTTCAGTAAGAATTTACTTTGTACGTGTGTAAGTTATTACAGAATATATTTTATTTTCCTCTGTCGATAACTTGCACGCATAATTCCATTTTACCGTGAACCCATAGAGAGTATATAAAAAAAATTCCAGCAATTTAAATTGTTTTGGCCGATATCTTCTGTTTCATTTGTCGTCATTCCGCTACCACTATTTCAAAAATCAAAAGTGAAGCTACCTTGTCAGAAACAATCGATAATCTGGTACTACAATAACAAAACATCGATTTCGATCAAAATAATTTTTAAACAATTTGCACGGCATTCTGAATTAGCTGCGCAATTGTTGGTTAATTTTCTTAATTTAACGATGGAGTATTCGCAAGACCAGTCTCAGTTGTCCGTTGAGGACTCGGCTCAAGACGCCCGAATCATTGGGCTGCAAAATCTCATCGAAAAGAATATTGAGATAGGTAAGTGGCCGGCACAATTAACATCAAATGCTATTACTAATAACTATTTGATTTATTTCATATATAGAGCAACAAATTGAGAGTAACTCATTTGGCGAATCATTAGAGGCAATTGACCATATTATACGGGAGGCCAATGACATTATCAAGGGACATGAGGATCGTCGCACGCTCTCCACGGAACTTGTCCTGGACACGGAGCTGCTGCGGCGCAATCACGAAGTTGTGGGCAAGGCCATTCAATATAACACTAACTTTACGGATCGCATTGTTCAAAATGCCATTGTAAGAATCAGACTTTCGGTTTTGTTAAATATCAGCTTGTGTAATACTGCTATAAACCGTCCACAGAACCAGCTGGTTTTCAAGGAGAACGAAGAGGACTGGGACTCTGTCTGTGCCTTGGCCATTCAATTCGGGCATCCCCATTTTACCAGCGACAGCATGCTGCCCTTTATAGACGTAGCACCCAAGGAGCACATTCCCAAACAACGCACTCAGCGCAAACAAAAATCACAGGTAATGAGGTTTTATTACAATCTAATTTTATAAGTAAAGTAATGCTTTTTTAGGTTGAGGAAAAACGTCCGAAAAAGAGTGATAAATTGGAGCGTAAGGACGAAGGTGCTGCTTCAGTCAACAATACCTTGAAGCAAATCAGAAATATATATCGCGAGGGGGGCAATCAGCCGATTCCATACTTCAAATTGATTTGCAACCCAAACAATTTCATGGAAACAGTGCAAAATGCATTGCAAGTTTCCTTTTTGGTCAAGGAGAATATAATTGCAATTAAAAATGGCAGCGATGACGGCTTACCTCTTGTTTATGTCGTTGCCAATCCTAAGGCACTCGCCAATAATGAGGCTTCCCAGGCAATTTGCTCCCTAGATGTTTCCTACTGTGAGGTATGTACCTATGTGTAATATGTGTTGAAAGTACATTTAATCATTTCGTTTTGTCTTTACAGAAAATGATTAAACACTATCAGATTCAAGAGCCCATGCTTACAAGACTGCAGGATAGTTAGTTTTAGTTATACATTTAAGTGAATAGTTTTAAGAACTAAACTCAATGCCTTGTATTCGTTTTTGTTATAATAAAGATATTCAGTGGAATTCTTCTGTGCTATCTAGTAATTAAGAAATGTTTTTTTTTAACAAATTGGTGTATTTAATATTTGAATAAAAGGTATGATTGATTGACTCGTAAACTAGATAATAATATTTGGCATTATGTTCCGTGTTGGTTTTTTTATTGGGTTAAGTTCAAAATTACAATTAAAGTTTTTTTTTGACAATTTAAACTTTTTGTGCTAGTTTTTATTTGGTTAACAAATAGACATTGAATTTTAAATTAAAAATATATTATTCTTTTTGGTTTTAATTTTGACAATTATAATAAAATAGTGACTGGGATTTTATTATTGATCGAAAAGCAAATACAGATACACAAGTTATACAGAAAAATTAATAATATGTTAAACTTTTTGAAGTTCATAATTTAAAACAAAGATTAAAATACATCTACTACAAAAATGAATGGAAAACCCAACACCTAATGTGCAAATAGAAAGCTCTACCACAAAAATTACTTTCCACATTTGGGTTATGGAATGCGCTCTACATTAATTAAAAAATCACTCCTAAGCTAAGAAATAAGTGTTTTTTTTCGGCTGCACTGTGTTGCCATTAATTGAATTCCGTTAACTTAATTACACAAAGAAGAAATTAAGATTAATTAAGATTTATTGCGCCGAATAGCTTAGGGTTAATTGCATTTGTGTGGTGGACGGAGTTTAAAAGGCTTGGCGTTAAATAAAAGCTTGATAATGATAGCAGTAGTAGTGCAATGCATCTATCGATTGAAACTTTTGATATATTGTACTTACACTTGCTGGAAACACCACTGACCCAGCTCAACAGATTTATACATAGATTGTGAAGATGTGTGGCGAAAACTGAGCAAAGTTAGATGCAAGCATTATAAAAGTAAATAAAACAAAAATGAAGATTTATTACTCCGTATCAGCACACACCAACAACAACGACCCAATTAATAGAGCCCCAATCTTGAAAATACAAAATTAATGATGATGCACAAGCGAAGTTTAAATATAACATTGCCAAGTTGAGCTTTTTATAAGGAATAGAAGGTTTCCATTATTAAGAAGTGATTAAAAAATATAAGTATAATAAAATGTAAGCAGTGGAAATACTAAAAAACTTATTCTGGCTGTCAGGTTGTCAAGGTCAGTTGTCAGGGATCATTCAAGCATGGGAAAACGCTTTGCATAACCAATTTAACCCACAAAAAAGTCGATTATTCTTCTATTTTTTTAATAATTGAAAACATTTTTAAGTACTCTATTTAATTTAATCAAAATTTTTATATTGCCTTTGATAATACTAACTAGCAATAAAGGGTCAAATAGGAAGTTATTAGGAAAATATCACCCGTAAAATGATAAACATATGGTTCCATCTCATATATTTACCAAAAGATCAAACATCTTCAGGACTATACACATTTCTCATTCGATTGTGAGGAGGAGCTTAATTCCGGCCTCTGGGTTCTGCTGAATTATAACCAATTTCGGCTCCATAAATTTCATTAGATTACTTTTGCATTAAGGCGTTTGCGTAATGTTCGAATGTACATTTGTTCTCGCATTGATGATGTTTAGCTGAAAGCTACATAAAGTTACATACATGCATACATATGCATAGACATCACCCACATTGTTGTAACTCACCCGCGCTCGACTCGCACAGTTGTGGTCAGTTGGAAAGGGTTTGATCAAAATAAACACATTTTGAATAAAATCAGCATAATTGAATATTTAAGGGAATACAATTTTTTAATTTAAATAAGGGATTTTTATATACTCAATGAATGTAAAATTATAAGATAAATCTTATTTCGAATTGATAAACAATTAAACTGAAATTCTCAACTAAAGATTTAACAAACACATTAAACTTTAGTAAATAATAATGGTTCATTATTTTGTTTTTATTTTCTAACGCTAACAGGAAGCTAGTAGAAAGCTTATTACTTTTGGATCATTCAACAAGCTTTAAAATAATAATTTAATAATAATAATAAAAACATGTAAATCTACTTTATGGATTCAAAATTCCTTTTTTATTTTTTTAAGGCGCTCTCGTTTTGCCTTCTGCTGTACACACGCACATATCTGTACGCACGCACATTTGGCTCCAGACTTTTGGTTTTGGGTGGCGTTGGCAAGCGACGCGCCGAGGCAGTGCCGCCCCACCGCTCCTCCGGGAGCTCCAGAGACCTCTGTTGGCACTCGATCGGATCGCCAGAGCTGCGCTGATGCTTGCGGCGCGCTCTGCCTTCAACACTTCTGTGTTCGCAAAGCCAAAGCCGCCTTCCCGAAAATTTCAATTCGGATTTCAGTTCGGATTTGAGTAGCACACGATGAAGACGACCGGGACAGCTTCAGTTAATCCAGAATACATTTAGTGCAGTGATACACGTCGGTTGCAACATACAACATAATCATGCGAAATATTAACACTTCAATATTAATGATAGTTGAAGCCAAATCAAGTTTTTGGAATTTGTGAAATTAATTTGTGAACTTTAAATCCTATCCCTGATGTGCTTGAAAATGTGTTTTCAAAAATGTTTTCAAAATTGTAATAACGTTTAATTGCACTTACCGGACGTAAAAAATAATAAAAGAAGAAAATTGTTAAGTGAACCTAATAAGAGCCGAAATAAAAAGGTATTTTGATGGATGACCTTTTGAATGACGCTCCACATCCTTTTGTTATCTGACAATTAAGTTTGAAGTTTGAAGTCAGATGTCGGGTCTTGAATAAAGGCTTAATTGCTTTTTCAGAAAAGTGTGTAATCGATTCGAGTTTTCTTTTCCCGAATGTGCGTGTGCAGTGTGTGTTTTGGGACAAATCAATTTACCTCTCTCACACATATTGAGCCGTTATCCGCGTCGATGACAGTGATCACTCAAGTACTGAATGCATAATGAAAGAAAGCCCACTGTTGACGGAGGAGGTTTCCATTCCCATTCCCATAACCCTAAATTACATTATTTTGCATGCCTTAAACGTGGCCACGTAATTGCAGTCATTTAGCTTTAGGATCGAACGGATAATAATACCCCCGGACCCGATGATGTCCAAATCTGATCCGAATGGTGACACAGATACCAGTACCAGTATTTCACGCCACATAATTATGTACATATCTATGGCGCTATCTATGTATCCTATTTAAACAAATCCATATGTTTGCAGGCATAAATTTCAAAATATTCTCCCCCTTTTTATTTTTGCTAATTGCGGAAGTTTCACATAATAATGTTAGCCCGCGAGTGTGAATGACGAAATACAAGACGGCGCGAAGAATATGACATATGTATCAAAATATTTTCGGTTGGTTTCCTATTCTCGGCTGATTGAAGATTTTCCAAACACTTCAGTTTAATGCAAGTTCTTCATAATATCCGCGCACTCTTTGAATTGAGTGCCTGGCCTGGAGTTCAGTGGCGTGCTGAAGTGCTAATGCCATCCATTGCACCACCACGTTTTGTGGTTTATGTTTATATGGGCAAATGCAGTTTCATATGCATAGATATAGGCCCAATATGGGCCTATTGACACAGATAAGTATGGAAGAGTACATTGTGACATTAAGAATTTCTATACCCCATACGCATACGGTTCTCTAATAGGGTATATTGCCTTTTTTCTCCGATGTGTGTCACTGGCAAAAAGCACTTTCGACTTTCCACTCAGCCTCGATGGGGGGCGAAGAAAAGCCTAAATCCTGAACCTATAGATGGTTCTATAGTTCTCTAAGTGTGTTTTATATGAAGTTTGGTTATTCGTTTAGATCAAAATCCAACATATTTGTTAACCTTCCACATTTAAAATTTAATCATATTTTATTTTCTATTAAAATCCTTTCAAATTCTAAGTTTCTAAGACTAAGTTGTGTTAAAAATCTTTTTTCTTCTATTTTCTAAGGGAAAAAAATTGTTATTAAATCGATATTATAATCGAAATAATCAAGGCTTAAACAGTATTTTTGAGCTTGATATCAACTTAATTCAAATATATCAAATATTACGCATACGTATACGCAATATGTGTAAGCGAGCACATATAGTAAGTATATAAATTTGTATCGTATGTACGATCATAGAGCTCCAAAAAGTAGAGTGGGTGTGGAGGCATCTAATGAAATACGCCCTTCCCATTTTCGTTCACGGATGTTGTGGTGTATGCTGCCCGAAAGTACATCCATTCCAGTCGAATAGTCACGGTCGGTTTACTCGTAATCAATGGATATATACATATAATGGAACTTGAGTTCCTCTGTGCGAGTTTGCTAATACAAAGCCTCAGAATGCGTACAGGCGAAAAACATTGAAGATCGGCCGAAAACGATTAGAGAGTCCCATACATATGTAACAAAAAAGAATATATACATATATGTGTAAATGTACATGGAATGTGTCCCAAAAGTTTGGGGTTTTTTTTCCGTTAAAAAAATTGCTAGCATTTTGTAGAATAATCTTAAAGCCAGACTTCCAACGATTTCAGTGATTCTTCAATAAATTCCAAGTAGACATGCATACACTTAAATGTTTTATTTTATATTTCTAGGTTTTAAAATGGCAAAACTATTTGTAATATTCAGGTAAGAATCTTTGTTCCATAACTCTACCATTTCCTGTTTTTTATCGATCTAACTCTATGTTGTCTATGGGAATTTTATAAAATAAAAAAGAGGAAAACATGAACCCAACCAAAAGTGGGAGGAGCGGCGATCTTTTTCAGCTGCATTTAATCAAGATTTTTTTTCTTTTGCCGCCGCCGAACAGTGACTCGTTTTCAGAAAACATTTTGTAATTTGTGGAGCTCATAAGCTAATTTTCCGGCCAAATAGAATATTTTTGTTTACAGGAAATAACATAATTTTTTCTCCAATAAAGAACTTACTTTCTGTAGCTTAGATTTATTTAGATTATTATATTACTTATTAGATAACACGTATTCACATATATATTTTCTAACTTTATTGACTTTCAGTATTCTTATCATCCTTGCATCTATACCTG